AAATCTGAAAGACAGAGACTCTGCTTGACTCTCAGCAGCTGATGGCTGCGATTCTGTGGGATGTTTGGAAATGTTTTGTGAATGTCATGGTGACTTGTGAAGGGGTTGCCCTGGGCAGCCCTTCTGGAACTTTTTTTTTAAGATTTATTTTTTTATGCATACAAGAACTGGGGTACAGGCCAGAGGTGCAGGGGGTGAGCAGATTCACCAGAGACAGAGTGGGGAGCATAAAGGCAGATCTACTGACATACACTACTGAGGGGAGCAGCAGGTAAGTCAGGAGAGGTCTGCTGTGCCATGTGTGTAGCTCCCTGGCCAGCCGGAGATGGAACTTGCGCTGCAGTGGCTGTGGATAGCTTCACAGTGCAGCAACTTAACCCCCTGTGCCACCAGGGAAGCCCCCCCTTTCTGAAACTTTTTGACCTCAGAAACTTTTTACATTCCCAAAAGTTTTCTTTGTTTTTGAGGGCCCCAAAGACACTGATATGAGCCCCAGCTATTGATATTTACTGTTACTGCTTTAGAACTTAAAATAGACCATTGTCATTTATTTATTTTTACATTTTATTTTAAGCTTGATTTATTTATGCATACAAGAGCTGGGGTACAGGTCAGAGATGCAGGGGTGAGAGGATTCACCAGAGACAGAGTGGGGAGCAGAATAGGCAGACTGAGTGAAATACATTGTCGAGGGGAGCAGCGGGCGAGTCAGGAGAGGTCTGCTGCACCATGTGGGTTTCTCCCTGGCTGGCTGAATATTGGACTCATGCTGCAAAGGCTGCGGATTGCTTCATAGTGGGGTGCTTAACCCCTTGCGCCACCAGGGAGGCCCTATTTTTACATTTTAAAAGGACAGTTTTCTTAGGAAAAGGAGAAAAAGAGAAGTGTCTATGTAGTCACAAGAGGGCAGGAGAGCTGCTGCTGCCGCTTTGCAAAGGGAAAATGGTTGGTGAAAAGAAACACATGCATAGTCACAGGCAGGCAGAGAGTTGCTTAAAACTGATAATTTTTAAATACAAGAACTCAGGAGAAAGCAGAGTTCCATTAGCTGGCCAGCCTTGCTGGCACCATACATCATGCTGCATCTCACCTCAGGAGAGAACAGAAATGAAAGGGGCATAAAACACCCTGGTGTTATTATGAATATAGTTTGCACTCGCATAAAGGTCTCAGGGACTCCCAAGGAAACCTGGACCAAAGTTTGTGCTGCAGCCTGGGGGACAGTGCAGTTCAAATGTGAAAGTGTCTCTCTGGATGGATTGGTGACCCTTTATCTGTGACTTGAGGGGACATCCCGTGTATAGAAACAGGGCTGACAATGGCGGTGTGCTGGGGCGGTGCCTCACCCTCCAAAGCACTCATGGCCCACTGCTTTTGGGAAGCTAGGCAGCTCTCACATTAAATCATTTAAAACAGGTGAATTTTATGATGTGCAGGTTATACCTCAATAAAACTTTGTGTTGTGAAACAACACAAAGCAAAATACGTGTTGAGGGAGTAAATGAATGCTCCCTAAAACCTCTGTTCGCCAACCTTAGGCGATCATGGGAATACGCTGGTGACAAGACAGCCCTTGTCTGTGCCCTCACAGACCAACAGTGACAGTCCAGAGGGGGCTGAGGCCAAAGTTAGGGGTGCTAGGAGCCCCATGGAGGCTCCTGATCCAGATTGAGGGATTCAGGGAAGATTCCACGGGGACCGAACCGCTGAGCTAGAGCTCGAAGGATGTTATTCATGACTGCGATGCAGAATTTCTGTTTTTCTTCTGTTTTAAACACCTCTTCTGCTTAACTTGAGTCTGGCGGGGTCATTTAGAGCCACGCGAGTGTCTGAGGCCTGGTCACAAGGGGGCGCTGTTTCATCGCGCTGGGGGCGACTCTAGCGGTTCTCGTGGCCTGGGCAGAAACGGAGGCCTGGGGGGATTTGAGGATGGGGGTTGTTTCTGCGGGGACGTTTCCAAAAAGACCGTGGCAACTGGGGCGGCGTGTGGCCCTGAATAGGGCGGTGGACGCATCGGGGACCGGGGTGGAGGGGAACCACCTCGCTGCACTCCATCGCGCTCGGTGGGGGCAGCCCCATCCCCAGACTACGCCATGGGGAGGGGAGGGGAGGGGAGGGGAGGGGAGGGGAGGAGAGGGAGGGGAGGGTTGGGGAGGGTTCGGTTCCCGGTCCTGCTGGAGCCGTTGCCCCGGATACCGCCGTCTGGAGGGGCGGGGCGCCTGGGCGACCGCGGGGGCGGGGCGTCCAGGGCACACGGGAAGGGGGCGGGCGCCAAGTGCTGTCCCGCGTGGAAAGTTCGGGAACAGCCCACGCTCCCCCAGGCTGACCGCGCAGGCCACCCCAGGGGGGCTCCGCAAGGTCGGACTTCCCAAAGAGCGCGGAAAGGGGCGGGAGGGGGCGTGATCTTGGGTGGCTGGATCCCCACTTGGGGAGTTTCTGGGGTGCCAAAAAGCTGGAAAGGGGGCAGCTTGATCTGGACAGCCTCCCCACCAAAAGACCTGAGTGGGCGTGGAATAGGGTGCGGCTCCTGGGCGTCCCATGGGGCGAGGTTGCTGGCTAGGGCGAGGGCGTTAACTCCAAGTGGCTGGGTCTCTTCTCAGAAGGCTGAAACTTGGGGAGTGGCAGGTGGGAGGGTAACCCCAGATCTCGGGCCTCTATGGAGAGAGAAGCACCATGAGAGCCACAGTCTTATCCAGTTGGTGGGTGGAGGGGGTGAGGGGGAGAAGATTAAGAGGAAGCCATGGGAGCTGCTCGGGGCCAGAACACCCCCGACAGGCCTGCTGTGGTTGAAGCTCCGGGGTGGGCTGCTCTAAGACAGAAAGAGCCGCCTGCTGCAAAGATCAGCCTCTGGAGGGGAAGATGGGCTTGCCTTTGTCTCTGATTTGCTGTGTGTGTGGCCTGTTTCCGCTTGGGTCCGGCAGTGGGAATCTTCTCTGTCCGATCAGAGGCCCTTTCTGCTCTTCTCTCCAGCATTCAGCAGAGATGATTTGCTGATGTTCTCTTCTGTGCCTGGCTGGGTCACTGATGGGAACCAAGTAACTCTGCATCCACCTGTAGCTCATATTCCAGTGGGGGACCAGTCACAGCCCAGAATGGGTCAGGGCTTTCTTCTGGGCCAAGAATGGGTGCTTGGTGGAGGGAGTAGCATCTTGGAGATGGGAACATGTGATTCATTCCCCCAGAGTCCTTTGCTTCCTCCCAGAGGAGCACCTGGTCCAGAACCCACAGCTGGTACCTGTACACTCAAGGGCAGCCCCTTAGCTTGTTCCCTCACTGCAAGTTGGGCCTGTGGATGGCCCCCAATTGGGCGTGAAGCTGATGTGAACCCTAGCTCCCCTATGGATACTACATGTGACGCGGGGCAGGTGCCTCAACCTCCCCTTGCAGCAAGATTACACTGGGCTTCACAAAATCAATCCCCTCACGTTAAAGCACCACAAATAATTAGCTTGAGTAATTTATATATATATATATTTTAAAATATGCAACTCGGGGGCCTCCCCGGTGGCGCAGCGGTTGAGCGCTGGGTTGCGAAGCTGCCCGCAGCCTCTGCGGCGCCGGTTCGATCGCCGGCTGCTCCCTGGCCACCGGAGGAGGGTCCCACATGGCGCGCAGACCTCTCCTGCCGCCCGCTGCTCCCTTCAGCAGTGTACTTCGGTCCTTCTGCCTGCTCTGCTCCCCGCTCTGGCTCTGGTGAATTCTCTCACCCTCCCGCGCTTCTGACTGTACCCAGTGCATGTATAAACAAAACAAACAAACAAACAAACAAATAAATAAATAAAGCATGCCTCTATAAAAAAAAAATAAAATAAAAAATAAAATAAAATAAAATATGCAACTCGGGGCCTCCCTGGTGGCACAAGGGGCTATCTCAGCACTATGAAGCCGTCCATAGCCACTGCAGCACAAGTTTGATCCCTGGCCAGGGAGGTGATCCACATGGCGCAGCAGACCTCTCCTGTCTCCCTGCTGCTCCCCTCAGCAGTGTATTTCAGTGAATCCGCCTGTTTTGCTCCCACTCTGTCTCTGGTGAATCCCCCGCATCTCTGGCCTGCACCCCAGCTCTTGTATGCATAATCTTTTTTTTAAAGATTTATTTATTCATGCATACCAGAACTGGGGTACAGGCCAGATGTGTGGGAGGGTGACAGGATTCACCACAGACAAAACAAGGAACAGAACAGGCAGACTGACTGAAATACACTGCTGAGGGGAGCAGTGCGCAAGACAGGAAAGGTCAGCCGTGCCATGTGTGCATCTCCCTGGCTGGCCGGGATCGAACCCGCACTGCAGAGGCTGCAGACAGCTTCACAGCGGTGTGCTCAACAGCTTACGCCACCAGGGAGGCCCTGCATAATCATCAAAAAAAAAATAAATAAAATATACAACTCATCAATTTTATCCAAGGACTCCAGAAAAACAATTGACAGACTTACAACACTGGCCATGTCAGAGGGCACTTGGGGCCCAAGTTATGGAAGATGCAAGCGATGAAACCAGAATTTGCTGACTCACACAACACGGTTTCCAAACCTGAGCATTTAAAACTTCAATATTGAACTTATTAGCAGAAATGTATAATTTTATAAATTCCGTGGCTCCCAATCTATAATTAGAAATGGGGTGATTCATTTGGGATACCCGTTAGTCCTCATCTGTCAAGGGCTGGGTCAGCGTCACTTCCTGCCACGATGACTCAGAGATTGAAGTGCAGGGACACCTTTTTACTCCCTCCTGTCTTAGATGACTCCCAAGGAAAGACTGTGACCAACACTTCTTCCCTCCACCCCCAACACATACCCTACTTTCCCAAGGGGCACCGTTATAGTCTTCCTTTATTGGCTGTCCTGTATAATACAAATCTGCAAGTTTAGATACAAAAAAATCTGGAAATAAAAGATAGAAAAGTACCCGCCAGGCACCGCTCCCCCTTCATCCCGGACATCTCCCAAACGGGCACCAACGTGAGGTAACTGAGCAGTCTCCTTCTCTGTCCCCCTACCCCGCCTCCTGCCCCCGCCCCCATGAGAACTAGGCCCGAGAAAGAGGTGGGCCCCCAAGTTGGGGGGAGGGTGAGCACAGCATTGGCAGTGAACGCAGCGGGTGGGCAGAGGGAAGCCCTTTGCTTGTGCTGAGTATGGGGGGGACGACCAGACTTGGGCACTCGGGTGGGGCCCAGGAGAGCCCCAAAGTGGGCATCCCGCCTCCATCCCACCCAACACTGGAAGGTGGAAGGTCAACAACAGAAACTGGGGAATGAAGCTTGAGTGGAGGGTACTGAGTGGGGTTGTGGCCACTCCTGTGTTTGGGGTGTGGGTGGCAAGGGGCACTGCCAGCTTAAGTCTGGCGGTGAAATGGGTCCCTCAGCCAGGCTGAGTCCGTCCCTGAATTCCATCCTGTCACAGCCTGGGCGTCACCATGTCGGTTCTGTAGTGGTTGTGGGGGGTGGTTGAGAGCAGGGGCTGAGGGGATTTGGGGGGCACAGCCCCCGGGAGCAGGATGAGGGACGAGGTTGGGCCTCCACTCCCAGGCGTGGGGCACCAGGAGATGATGAGTGGGTGGGGCAGCTTGGGCTACAGTTCAATCTCGAAGGTCTTCTGCAGGTCCCCCGAGAAGGGGTTGGGCGGTTTCTCTGCAGCGGGTTTGCCTTCTAGCGCTGCCCACTGGGCCTCAAAGGGGTCCAATTCAGGGGCTGGGGCAGGTGTCGGCTCTGGGGGCCAGGGAGCCCCATTGGGGCGTGGGCGGGCCTGTGTCCCAGGGGCACTGGGTGCCATGGGAGGAGGGAAGGCCCCAGCTTTCCCGAGCAGGGTAGCAGGCTGGGGCTGGAGCTGGGCGGCTGAGCAGAAGGCATTGGCTACCATCTGTGAGGGAGTGATGCCCACCACGGGCACCCGGGGCATGGGCGGGTAGCCCAATCCCGGATAGGCGGGCACAAAGGGGGGCTGCATGTGTGGGGGTGGCAGGAACACAGCCACCTGGGCAGGTGTGGCGTCGAAGGGCCCCATGGGGGCGGGGAAGGGCTGCAGGGCTGGAGGCACAGGGGGCACAGGGGGCACAGTGGGCATTGAGGCCGCTTGCTGCTGTTGCTGCTGCTGCTGCTGCTGCTGTGCTTTGGCCACCTGGGACACCTCTTCCAGCCATCTCTCGGCCTCTGAAGGGGTCCGCTTGTGCCCGGGCTGGAAGGCAGCTGCGGGGGGCACGGTGGGTTCGCCCCAGGCAGAAGTCCCTGTAGAGAAGAAAGGGGCAGGTGAGGGTCAGACCCCCAGGCTGGGGATAAACCCTGGGTCCAGGCTGCCTGCCTTGAACTCTGCCCCTTCTAGCCACAGCGGCTCAGTCAGACGGTCTGGCTGTTCTGGACCACCTGGTGGTTCCGCAGTGCTGAGAAAATACAGTTCTGAGAGTCTAGGGCCCTGAGCTGGGACAGTACAGGCAATCACTGCCAATCTGTGACTTTGCTTCCAGCCAGTCAGGGCCCAACCTGTTAAGCAATATTTCTAGAACATCACCCTTGTTCTAATATTTTGAGAATGCATTCGTTTTAGGAGTTTCAAATTCTAAGGCTGTGTGGATCTTCTTGCAGGGAACTATTCGAAGGGAGCAAGTAAGGGTCAAGGGTTTTAAGTTTGTGTTTCCTGAGATTGTAAGGTCCTAAATTGCCACTGCCTGTGACGTAAGGTGCTCCCAGATTCTAGGATGGGCGAGGCTCTCAGGGGATCCCCTGGCACATGCGTGCAGAGAGCACTCTGCGAAAGCTTGAGATTCCAAGGTTTCACAGCTCCAGATCTGTTAGGTTCTAAAATCCTAAGATTCTAAGACTGCAGGTTTCTAAAGTTTATGGTTTCAAGACAGAAAGGTTTGAAGCTGACACCAAGGTTTTGAGTCGCAGCTCTTAGACATGTCTGGGTTTGCAATGACCCCATGGCTCTTAGTTGGTCCACGGTTCTAAGTCACAGGGTCCCAAGAGTCCTGGTTATTGACAGCCCTGACAGAGCCAGGACGCGGTAGGGCGCTGCGGGGTATCTGGCGCAGTACAGGCCTGGCTCACCTGCTGAGGCTGGCGCTGGGCCCGGTGCGGGGGCTCCGGCGCTGGCAAAAGACGAGCTGATCTGCGTGCACAGGGCGTTGATCCCGTCACTGTCACTGGCACCGGGAGGCTCCATCTCAGGCACTGCGAAATCGGGGAAAGGCCGAGGTCAGTGAAGAGGCCCAGCCCTTAACCCCTGTCCCCCCAGGTGACCCTCTCATGACCTGGGGTCCTCCATCTCACAAGGTGTGTGGGTCCACTCCGCAGTCACGAAATGACTGTGACTGCAAAAATGCCGACTATGCATGTGTGTGTGGCACCAAGTGGCACAATGGCCAAGTAGCGACACTAACAGTCACCGGGACTAAAAACCAAGGACTTCAAGGTCTGTGTGAAGCCACAAACCAAGAGCAGTATTTAAAATGTTTATCGTCATGTACTAATTAAAAAACATATGTTTGACCACAGCTGGCAGGAGTGTCAGCTGGTCAGGACAAGAAACAGCACAGTGGTTCACTGGCCGGGGGCGGTGTCCTGCTTGGGCAGTGACGTGGGGCCTGCAACCCACACGGTGAAGGCAGAGACACGCGCATGCCAGCAGGGTGGGAGGCACTGAGTGTGGTGGCCTCGGGAGTGCTTGGGCCGAGACAGCAGCGCGTAAACACCAATATCCAAGCGTGGTGTGTGACTGGGCCTCTGACGGCCCCGTGGGCGGCTGCTCTGAGGTCATGTGTGAGGCGCCCCGACAAGCATCAGAGACTGGCTTGAGGAACCCACAGGTGTGACGGGCAAGTGGCTCCCAGTCACTTCCAATGACTGTGTCCAAACGGTGTGTGGGGCGTGAAATGTGTGTGTGGGGGGGTCCTGGCTGTGATTCCCAGGTGCAAGCCAAGCCGCCTGTGCCAAGTCTGAATGTTTGCAAACGTATGTCAGTCTGCACATGTGACTTCCATGGTGTGCGAATCTGGGTGTGGGGTGTATATGTATAAATCTGGGGTTGTGGCTTCCGTAGTGTAACAGTCATGGCGGGTTGTGCGACTTCCGTGCACATGTGATCTTTGAATGCACAAGGTTCAGAGTGTGTGACCGCTGAGTATGGGTGACCCTGGCAGAGAGGTGGCATCTGTGTGAGGCTGGGAGATTTGGGTGTGGCGAAGGTACCACTGGCTGCAGCAAGGCAAGAGGTTTCAAATAAAGCCTAGGGAGCTGGCCACCTGCAGGGAGCATTATGGGGTGCACAAGCCGAAGGGGGTCAGATGGCTCCTCAGTGAGTATGTGTCATTCTCCATAAGCCCTGACCCCTGCTTAACCATCACCCAAGGAGGAGCCCAGCCTCCTGGACACAGTTCAACACCTCCCACCCCATTCCCAGGCCACAGGTGTAGGCGGTAAGCAGGAGGGAAGGTGGCCCTCCTGCCTGTCTCCCTCGGGCCAAACACAGTGCCTCTCTCTCCTCTCCTGCCTTTCTCGTGTTAGGTGTTGCTTTTAGCCCATGACATGGCTTCTCTCTCCTGTTCCTGGCCCAAGGCAGACATCAGTAATCAAACATGGTGCTTTTTTCCCATTGAACTTTCCATTCCCCTTACTTGGCCAGATCTCACAGCTCACTGGCCAAATGCTGGAAGAAAGAATTTATCCTGGAAATTCTATTTTCCCTCCACACAAAACAGGACAGCTGTGCATTCAAGCATGACTTAATGGCATTCTGGCCGCTCACAGACCACGTCTATGACAGTGGTACCAGCAGGCTACACTAGGTGTGTTGTTGGCTATGCCGTCTGGGCTTGCGTGGTCACACTCTTTCACATTCTCACAGTGACATCTGAACGAAGCATTTTTCAGAACACTGTTAAGCCATAAGTGCCTGTACTGCCTCCCCGCCACCCCGGCAGACATCGCTAATAGATGACGGCACACCACCTCCTCCCTCGTCATAGTTCTGGGAACTCATGGCTAATCACCCACGAGGGTGCTGTCTCTGCCCCGTCCTTTCCACAAGCAACATCTCCAGTCCATCACTCTGCTCCCGACCTGGGGATCCCTGTGCTCCCTGGTGCGGTCCGCCTCCTGTTTCCTCTGGTCAAATCCCGGGAGTGTCCCTTGGAGCAAAACAGGACATTCCTCCTCTCTCTCCTCCCGAGCCCATGGCCAACCCTGCTAATCAATCCCTTGGTGCGACCTCGCTCCCTTTCCTTGCTCTCGGCAGGCACCGTAAGGAGATCACGTCTGCCATTGCTCGAGTCTCCCTTCCCTGGGCAGACACCTAACCCGCTGCAACCCTCCCTCCTCCTGTACTTGAGGATACCTGCAGCCTTCACCTGGGCACATCTCAGCTATTGGCATTAGCCTGTGGTGCCTCCCACTCTTCTGAGCAAAAAACAAGGCATCTGGCAGCTCGCCTCCGCTCCCTTGCCCGAGGCAGACTCTGCAGATCTGTCGTGATCAGCCCCTCCCTGCTGTCCCTGCCTGCCGCAAATCCTAGTGATTGACTGTGCGACCCTCGCCCACGTGGACACGGCTACCAATCGTCATGTGTCCCATCTGCGCACTGTGCCTATTGATAGCTCTGCTCACAGCTGTGCGATCCCAGAGCTCCTCCCCACAAAGCCCGGGCTCACCTGTGCCCTTCACCTGGAAGTCAGTGCGGCGCTGCAGCGTGGATGGCAGCTCATTCAGGCGCAGGCTCAGCTGCCGTTTGAAAGGCGAGTTCTTCTGGCTCAGCGCTGGGAACCCACGAAAGGAGCCCTGGCGAACCAGCTGCTCCAGGGGGGCGTGGCGCCGAGGGATGGCCGCTGCAGTGGTGCCCGCTGCCACTGGCGTGCCCGCCTCACCCTTCTCACCAGGGGATGTGGTGGCCGGTGTCGGGGACACATGCCCAGGCTGGGCAGGGCCAGGAGTTGCAGTGGGGGCAGCTGCTGCCTCTGCTGGAGACAAGGGAGAAATGGGTTGAAACTTCACCTTGGCACCCAGGCCTCTCCCACCCCGCCCTCTTGATCATTCAAGTTCAAGGCTGCCATCCCCACTCAATGTAGCCTGCCCCTTACACAGGCTCAGAGCCCCAAAACGTGCCTCACTCCCACCCGAGACAAGACCACCTACCCCAGGAGGTTCTTGGGAGAGAGGGTATCACCCCCAAACACACCCTCTGGCTTTCTGCCCTGATCTGTCTTCCTCTGCTGCTCCTGCAATTTTCCCTCTAAGACCTTCTGTCTCCTTTTCTGATTTAATAATCTAATTTAATGAACACTTACTTGGTTCATGGCCAACAAGTATCGTTCCAAATGCTCTGCAATCATTAACCCATTCAATCCTCACAACCACCCTAGGAAGCCGACATGACCATTTTGCCCATTTTACAGATGTGCAAACTGAGGCCCAGCATGGTAAGTGACTTGCCCAAGCTGCAGTGTAGGAAGGGGCAGTTGTCTTCCTGTCATTCTGTCTGCTCTTGTCTTTGTCTCTATCCCCCACCATTCTTTCAGCTCCAATCCCTCCTCCCTTCCTCCAGTTGCTACCCACTCTTCTAGACTCAGCTTGGAAACTTCCTCTGGGAGGTTTTCCTGACTGTTCCAGTCTGTCAGCCCGGGCTCCCTCTTTTCTGGACTGCTCTCTGTGCCCTGGGGGTTCCTGGGCACCCCACTCAGCACAAAAGGCAGGTCTTCAATGGCAGGGACCCCTGACTCCCGCCAGTTCACAAATACATGCCCTTTGTCCAAGCTGTGTTCTCCCAGCTGCAGCCCAAATGCTGGTGAAATTAACTCAGGCTCAGAGAGGACAGGGAGGTCACCCAGCACTGTATCTCCCTGTTTCCAGGTCAGGCAGGGGGGCTCTCACCCAGGCCAGGCTCAGGGCAGTGGAAACAGCCAGGAGCAGGCTGGAACCAGGAAATCCCCTCTTCCCACCTCTCCGGAGACTTCAGGAAGTCTCCTCCCTCACAGGGCTGCAGTTTCCTGACTCTAAACCTGGGGTGGACACCCCCCAAAGCTGCCTCCCAAGGTCTCCTGGGAGGCTGCATGGAGGAGGTGACTGTTGAAGGTCTGGAATCTGACAAAAGCTTGGTAAGGGCTTTGTGGCCAGCCAGTAGTTCCTGCATTGGAAAGTAACCCTGTCTACCACCTCGATTTGTAAGACAGCAGCGCCTGCAGACAGCAAATCAGTGTTGCAATGGCAAAACAGGGAGTGGGGTGTTTGGCAAACCAGAAGGCACTCTGGAAATGTCCCTTTTGCTGGGGAAGTGGTGAAGGGTTTTCCATCCTGCAAAGTGCCTGGAAGTGATAATGTCCTCTGGGAAAAACGAAACCCTTTGCAAACTCAAAAGCATATGACCACATTCTTTATAAAATTCTCATCGCGTATAATAAAGTGATACTTATAAACCGTAAAGGGCGGTGCACCCACTGTGTTTCTTGTAAACAGCAAAAACATCCTATACGCTCAGGCTCTCTATTAATGTCCTTTTGTAATCTATTTAGCTGATGATAAAATCTTTTGCACGTACTAACAGAGGATGAGAACGGTAAAATACTTTATAACTCGTGTAAAGAAGTTCCTAAGTGTAACTTACAAAAGAAAAATGTCTTTGTGGGGCCTCCCTGACCTAGGGATTAAGTCTCAGCACTATCACCACTATGGCCTGAGTTCGATCCCCGGCCAGGGAGCTACCCACATAGTGCGGCAGACCTCTCCTGACTCGCCTGCTGCTCCCCTCATCAGTGTATTTCAGTAGATCTGCCTGTTCTGTTCCCCACTCTGTCTCTGGTGAATCCTCTTATCCCCCGCACCTCTGGCCTACATCTTAGTTCTTCTATGCAAAAATAAATAAAATCTTTGAAAAAAAAAAAGAAAAACATACTTTGTGAACTGATAGCCTAGTGAGTGATAAAAACTGCTGTTTCTCTAACTTTTGAGTTAAAAATATTTAAACACCTACAGAAAAGACGTACTAACGGAACAGTGAGCATGTTGTTCTCTTACACCCCTGGGTCCTGGGACACGGTATCTACCTCTCTCCTTCCACAGTGTCTTTCCTGTACCACTGAAGTCTGCAACCTATTCAGCCCCAAGGCCTTCAGCACATACCTCCTGAGGACAAGGACAGACTCCTACAGAACCACAGTGTGATTTCTCACTTGGGAAATTTAACATGGGTGTGACCCCATTAGCTCATCTACAGTCCCTATTCCAGCTCCCTGAACTTGTCCCAATCATGAGCTTTATTGGTGTTCTTTTTTCACATACATGAAATTTTCACATTTCAAATTTTCATTGATGTACATTTCCAGCACCCAATTTAGGACCACACATGGCATTTATTAAGACTTCTCATGTCTGTTACGTTTCCTTCAATCTTCATCAGTTCCCCAGGGCAAAGTCCTTGTAAATTCTAAGCAGTGTTTTCCAAAAATTTTACAACTAGAGTCCACAGTAAAAAAAAAAAAAAAAAAAAAAATTACATTATTTTTTGTCTAATACACCAACATTTTAAAAACACACTGCTTTAGGACACACAAAGTGTCACCTACGTAGTATGTTAGCATTTAGTGGTAATTTTCAAACTTCTTTTTTTTTTTTTAAGATTTACTTATCTATGCATACAAGAGCTGGGGTGTAGGCCAGAGGTGTAGGGGGTGAGAGGATTCACCAGAGACAATGGGGAGCAGAACAGGTGGATGTACTGAAACACAGCGGGAGAGACAGGAGAGGTCTGCTGCACCATGTGGGTAGCTCCTTGGCCAGGGATCAAACTCCTGCTGCAATGGCTGGTGATAGCTTGAAAGTGCTGTGTCTTTAACCCCTGTGCCATCAGAGAGGCCCAATTTTCAAACTTTCTTGATGGTAATCCAGTGTAAGAAATTCCTTGTATGAGGCAGCCTGTTATACAAATGTATTTACAAAAACTGTAAAAACATGAAATAATCACTACCTTTCTACATTCAATGAGTCTGATATTTTTTCTATTTCATTTTTTTAAATGCCAGCCGCTATCCAGCAAGCTGACTTCACAGCCCATTAGCAGGTCTTGGAGAGTATGAGAAGTCAGGGACTCCCTGAGTTAGCAGATAATAAAGTGCCTGGTGGGTGTGCTGGGATCTGTGGCTTGCAGAATTTCGTCCAGAGAACCTAAATGGAAGTAAGCGATAGAAACTAGAAGCAGACTCCAAGGCTGATGCTCTGCTTTGTAAACTGCAGAGTACTGGCATATGTGCAGCTCTTTCCCCCAGCTGGATCCGCTGGCCACCCAGAGGGCACCCACCTTTCTTTTTGTCAGGGACCTCGCGCTCAGCCGGCCGCCCACGGAAGGAGCCCTCCCGGGCAAAGCTGGTGCGGCTGGCGTCAAAGGCAGCGGTGACCCCACATTCCTTCTCCCGCCGCTGTTTCCGCTCCAGGCAGGCAGCAAAGGCACAGCCCACGGCATGGCTCAGCCTCTCACCCTGGGGGAGAAAGGGGAGCAGACTTAGCAATGGCAGAGCCCAGGGGCTCCAGCAGCTAGATGCTGGGGGACCCCGAAAGAGCCTGTTCATCTATCTGGGCGTGTTCATCACATCTGTACTAAGAGAGATGCAAATGACAACCTCGAGTGAAAAAAGCTCCAGACAAGAGTACAATCCCGTATGGCTCCATTTCTATAAGTTCCAGAACGTGCAAAAGTAATCTCTGGTGAGAAAAGTCAGAACAGCAGTTGGTCCCTATAGGGTGGGGGGGAGGTACTGTCTGGGAAGGGGTGGGGAGGGACCTTCCAGGGCAGGGGTGATGCTCAGGCCCGGGGGGAGGCTTTGTATGAGACAGGTACATGCAGTTATCCAAACTCAGCAAACGTCTACTTAAGGTTGGCTCACACATGATTTCATTTCAAAAGAGAATGATCTAGAAACCAACATGGATCCTACTTAATGGCATGCACGCTGAAGATCAGGGGAGGTATTCATATGGCTGCAGCTGTGAAATGAGTCCAAAAATGAGACAGACTGCTAAGCTATGGAGTAAGCACAGACAAATAGTAGTGGCAGGATCTGGGTGCTGGTCCACCACCACACTTCAACTCTGCTGCATGCTGCAAACATTTCCTAATAAAATGCTGGGTGTATAATAACTATCTCTATTTCTTGAAAGGCTCCAAGGCCAGACAGCCTGGGAATGATGCCGGCTCCCCTCTTGTTTACTGTGTGTCCTCAAGAAAACAGGCATTTTACCTCTCAGTGCCCCAGCCTCAGGCTGTAAAGTGAGGGCCCTAATGGCAACTACTTCACGGGATTGTTGCAGGATTTAGGGGAATTAAAATATGCAAGGCACGCAGCACAGAGCCAGGCGCTGGCTAACATCACGAGATGGCAGTATAAATCTATTCATCCTTTTACAGAACCTCACAACAGTGTTAGCTGGGGGACATTCTTATGAGCCTGTTTTACAGAGGAAGAAACTGAGGCTAAGTCAACACACACATCCTAACAAGCCAGGGGCAGAGAGGGGAGTTTCCTGAAATCTGACTTCTGTTTTCCGAACCAAGATGCTCAGTCACCTCTTTTTTTTTTTTTTTTTTTTTAATTGTTGGATAGACTTAATGCCTTTCCATATGTCTCTCTTGATTTCTCCTGTAGGTGTAATCCCCGTGGTTCTCCCACCATCACAGCTCCCATGATCCTTCACCGTGGTACCTTGTCTCAGCCACCTCTTAATAAGCTAAACCGAGGGACAAAACTTTCCCCCCAAAATACCAGCAACCTGAACCCTGCAACATGTTTAAAGAATTTGCACTGTGATCGAGTGAGATTTACCCCCACGCATGGAAGGTTGGCTCAACATATGGAAATCAATTGATGTAATACACCACATGAAGCAAACCACCACAGAATGAAGGAGGAAAGAAACAAGATCATCTCATCTGATGCAGAAAAAGCATTTGACATGATCCAACACCCTTTCTAGATAAGAATATGCAACAGACTTGGAATAGAAGGAAACTTCCTGAACCTGATGAAAGACATTCATGAAAAATTCACAGCTGACTTCATACTCAGTGACAAAAGAATGACCAGGAGGAAGACAAGGCTGCTCATTGTCATCACTTCTACCTAACACTGTATTGGAAGTCCAAACCAGCGTAATTAGACATGAAAAAGAAAAAAATGGCATCCAATTGGGATGGGAGAAGTAAACTGGTCTCTATTTGCAGATGACATGATTTTACATGTAGAAAATCTAAATAATCCACAAACTACTAAGTTGCAGGATATAACCTCAACATACAAAAATCAGTTGTATCTTATATGCACTAGCAGAGAATGCTCCAAATATGAAACAAGGACATCAGCTCCATTTACGGTAGCATCTATAGGAATAAAATGGAAAAATAAAAAAATTAAAAAAGAATAAAATGGAGTAAGATGAAATGAGGACATGTATGCTGAAAACTATAAAATATTGTTGAGGCGCCTCCTTGGTAGCCTACGGGTGAAGTCTCAGCACTATCACCCCTATGGCCTGAGTTCGATTCCTGGCCAAGGAGCTACCCACATGGCACAGAAGACCTCTCCTGTCTCGCCCGCTGCTCCCCTCAGCAGTATATTTCAGTGGATCTGCCTGTTCTGCGCCCCACTCTGTCTATGGTGAGTCCTCTCACCCCCCACACCTCTGGCCTACACCCCAGTTCTTCTACACAAAAATAAAATTTAAAAACTAAAAATAAAAACCAAACAAAAAATTGTTGGAAAAAAATTTATTCCATTATTTCTAATAAATGGAAATAGATCCTGTGTTCATGGACTGGAAGACTTCCTAAGACAGCAAGCTCATTTCTTGTTTTGATTTTCACCCCCAAGAACTTTTCAGATGATAGCAACAGTCCCTGTTTACTGGACACCTGTAGGATTTTGCTTAGAACCTTTTCAGTGAGACCATAACAAAGGCCTCCCCAACCAACTTGTGAGCAGCTGCTGCTAGTACCCTCGTTTCATGGGGGTGGAAATGGAGTCCTGTAGAGAAGCCACCTATGCCTAAGACCCCACAGCCAGGTGGTTCGACAGCAGATCTACACTGACCTATAGCAGTTTATTTTCCAAAAACAGTTGCAAGAAATTTCTGGTTCCACATGCTCCACTCCTCCATCAAACGTGGAATTCATGGTGTCTCCCCTTGGCCTGGGAAGACCTTGTGAATGTCTGGATGAGTAGGACACCACAGGAGCAGAGCCGTGCAGGGTCCAAGACCAAATGCAAAAAGGCAACAGTGTCTTCCTGGCACAGGCTTGCACTCTCTCGCCTCACTTTAGAGCTGTTTGCCCCCACGTAAGGAGTCCAGTTCTCCTGAAGTCTCCACGCTGCAGAACCCCATGAAAGGGCTGAGACTGTGAAGACAGAGCGGTTCAGCTGGACAGTCTGGGTGTTACGGCAGCAGACACTACCTACTGCTACACATGAGACCCTGGAGTCAGGCCACCCCTGCCCCGGGCTGGGCCTTTCCCAAGTTCCTAATTTGCAGGAACCATATGAGGTAATCATAATTTCCTTTCTTTTCTGGTATAAAAATTACATGGTGGCCATGGCTGGAGGCTGGGTTCTCTGCACGGAGATTCTCGTGTGGGGCTTTGTCATTCACTTTATTTTCTGGTGTAAATATTATGTGCCGTGAGAGTTAATTAACAATTGTAATTTTAACCCCCTGGGCATTGGAGCAATTTGTTACACAGCAATAGACAGAGTTGTAACTAGGACAGCTTGTAAGCCAGGCTCTGGGAATGGCCATTGCTATGGGTACTGGGTGTCAAATGTCTCCACCGTGGCTCCTGGCAGACACTTGTCAGTACAGATGAATCTCAAATTTTGTTCTCCAAACCTCTGGTTTGAGGTCTGAAATTATGAATGTGTGTGAGGAAGCTGTGGGTATTGAAGAGTTTTGGGGGCTCTGAGCCATCTGGAATGGGAATTTCTGGAATGTGAAGACCATTAGGAATGTGGGGCACATGTATTATTTTATTTGCCCAGCATCCATTTCCCCTGCTTTTTTTTTTTTTTTTTAAAGATTTATGTGTGCATATAAGAACTGGGGTACAGGCCAGAGGTGTGGGGGGTGAGAGGATTCACCAGAGACAGATTGGGGAACAGAACGGGCAGACTGACTGAAATACACTGTTGAGGGGAGCAGCGGGTGAGACAGGAGAGGTCTGCTACGCCATGTGGGTCACCTCCCTGGCTAGGGATTGAACTCATGCTGCAGTGGCTGCGGACTGCTTCATAGGTTGCGTCTTAACCCCTTGCGCCACTGGGGAGGCCCCTCCCCTGCTTTTGAAGACAGATACCCAAATTCCCTTTGGGGAACTCTTCATCAACACTGTAAGTCAACCTGGTGCTCCACCGCCTCTGGCCAATGACAGTTTCCCAAGCCCACCCGTGTCCTCTCACCAGAATTTGAACCTGGTGTGCTGGTAGATGGGTTCATCTCTGCAGTGGTTCCTTGAGGGAGCTGTCCCCTGGGACAGCATCCCCATACTGCCCTGATCTAATGCTCAATGCCTCAAAGCCCTTTGATTCTACAAGAACTGTACATCCTTCTATTAATTTTATTTTGGACACAAATTAGCCAGACTGGGTGCTGTTGCCAACCGCCAGGGAACACTACCTAGTGCAGGGAGTGGAGACTGAGGCTTCCTAACGAGCTGTGTGGGGTCTGAAGTCAGGGTCCAGGGTAGCATAAAGGCCATGTCTCCCACCATCTTTTGCTGGAATGTTCATGTAACTAGTTTCTGGCCAATGGGAAGACAGTCTTACAAGCCTCCCCAAATCTAAGGGCTGCATGCCCTTCTTCATGCCTTCGTCGTTTATGCCAGTGGAGTGAAGATGCGAAGGCTGGAGCATATGCAACCACCTTGGATCATGGAGGGGAATATTCAAGCACAGCAACTAGATAAAAGGGGTGCCACCCCTGATGAGTGGCAAGGAGCCACAGTAGTGTACACGGTGCATCTATGGGTGACTTTCCAAAATAAGCTTCTACCTCACTGAAATCACTGTTCTCTGGGGGTTTTCTGCCACAGCTGCAGAATCCTAACATGAGAACACTTCTGAGAAGAGGGGCCATTGCTGCATTTGTCAGATTCTCAGAGGGAATCTTGTCTCCCACCCACAAATATAAAGACCCGCAGCAAACCAAATCAAGGCTGAAGGATTAGTGGGTACTGCCCTGGGGGATGTTACTTGAGAAAGGCCAAAGGGAGCCTGCTGGGGGCAAGAAATCCTCTACAACTTGATCTTGGTGGGATTTATACATAAGCAAACACTCCCGGAGCTGTGTCAGGCACCCACATACTGCTGTGGGTACACGACCCTTGAAGCTAACAAACATGAAGACCTAGTGCTAGTGAATAAGAGGATGAGTGTCTCCCTGAGTGCGTGGCAGACCCTGTCCTAAACATTTGGCGTTAACCCACCCAAGCTTCACAATGAACCTCTAAGTTAAGGGTTGGGAACGCACCCTCTTTTTCAGCTGAGGAGAGGCGAGTGATATGCTCATCTCCACGCAGCCGGCAGGCGTGGAGCTGGGATGCCAGGGGATGGGCAGGGAAAAGAGGCAGAGGCAGCGGCCTTTGGTGATACTCACAGAGTCCTTGAGAGCCAGAAAACAGTGGCAGATCCAGCGGCGGGTGGTCCCGTCCCGGCAGATATAGGAGAACGCTTTGTCCAGGTTGCGGTCAGGAGCACAAAAGGAGACTTTTTCGATGGTCTGGTCTACTAGCAGGTCCTGGCAGGGCCAGGAAGTCAGGAAAGGAACATGAACTGTCTTTGATGTAGTCATTCCATACTGCCTGAGCGTCTGCTCGATAGCCCATGCTGAGCAGGGTGGGGACTCAGCAGTGGCTGAAACAGTCATGGGGCCCTGCCTGCATGGGGCACCCAGTCACATGTGGAACTGGACCCATGAATAGAGTCACAGCCAGGTTGCAGTGAGGGACGCAGAGGGATCAGGGCCCAGGTGGGGGAGGCAGGAACCTAGAGGAGGTGCCTGATCTGCTTGGGGGCAGTCAGTCAGGCAAGACTTCCTGGAAGAGGTGTTAACTAAGCAAAAAGGCAAGGAATGGTATTTCAGGCCCAGAGAACAGCCTGTGCGAAGGTGTCAATGCTGTCAGGTCGGTAACCAAACTCTCATGTCTGCTGGCTGCCTCCTTGGGCCGTCTCTGCAGAGGCTGGGGACTGGGAATGCAGCGCTCAGTAAACAGATCCCAGCTCCTGGCTCCCTGGCTCCCATCTGGCTGAATAGTTCGACAATAAGCACACCACAGCCAGCACTCATTGATCTGAGTGCTCACACTGTACTAGGCACAGTCTTGAAACTATGTGCATATACTTTCTCATTTAATGGCAGGGTCCACATGTATCCCCATTTCACAGATGAGGCAACCTAGGCCCAGGTCACCCAGCTGGCAAGTGGGAGAGCTGTGCTCCCAGCCGAGGTGGATGCACCACAGTCTGTGCTGTTTCTCGCCCACCATCTATGCTAGATCACAAATAACCACAGGACCCTGTGCTGAACTGTGACTTGCAGAATGACACTGCAGACTACACTTGGTGTAGTCTAGGTCCCTGAGGGAGGAACATCTTACAGGTGGGTGGGAAGATGTCCTGGGCCCCACCTGCGTCCATGGACCTCCTACCTTGGTCTTGTCATCCACCACGCGGAGTCCGTCGGCTGACACCCACAGGACTGACTTTACGGATTTCCTGCCCATCTGGGGGAGGAGGAGGAGAAGGGACTGGTCAGGGCTACCTCTTCCGATGTGACGGTGCCCCTCCCTGCTGCAGCCCCTCACTCACCGCCTTCAGCTTCTTCACAGCATCTTCACACACATGCATGCCCCGGGACTCTTCCACCTCCACATGGCCCAGGTACTGGGAGCACAGGGCAGAAGGACAAGGCGTAAGGACTCAGCAACGCCTAATGTTCACTGAGCAGCTTAATTAATTTACTCTGCACCTCAGTGCCTCAAGGGGGTTACCCCATTCCTAGCCCAGATACCCAGATGAGAAAACCTAAACATAGTACCCGCGTTCATTCCCATCCTGCCTTCATCCCTGGGCCTTAACACATCACTGCCACCTTCTGACTGCCACTGTCTGAGTGCCACTTTCTGAGTGCCACCTCCCAAATGGACCTTTCACACTCCAGGTTTCCTTCTGGGCAAAGGTGCAGGGCCTTTGACCATCATTTGTGGTCACCAGCCAGGGAGGGACTGAGTTGGGCTTTGAACCCATGCCCTGGAGCTCCGTCATCATGTGCTGCGTCCTGCTGTCTCCCTTTGAAGAGTGTAGCGTGTGCTGTCGAGGGTCGTGGTTGTCTACGCCAGCTAGTGCCCTGAACTGTGGAGGACTGAGCAAATGCTGCAGGATTTTTGTGACCCTCCAGTACCCTTTGGACATCTTGAGCTCCCCCAAAATGACCCCAGATAGCACACCACCACAGCCCAGGTAATAACTTCCTAGCCAGGAGAGTGAGCGCTCCTTTCTCAAGCATGTGAAGAGCCTTCTGCACAGGGCAGGGTCTCATTGGCCCCGGTGTCCCAGGAAGCCCCGCCCCTCTCTGTACCCTGCGCATGCGCACAATCGCCTCGCCTATCGCCCCGCCCACTCACCCTGACTGGGAAGCTGCACGTGCCCTTGCGCACAGCGTCTTCGTCCGCCTGCCACTGGTGCGGGCGCGAGGCCTCGGGCACGTAGGCTGGCTTCCGCCGGCGTAGGCTCTGCCGTAACTTATTCATGGTGCCCGCCCCGTCTGGTGACACAGAAGAGGGGCACAGGTCAAGGGCTGGGAGAAAAGAGCGCTAAGTAGCATGGGGCTCCAGGGGAGCCTGGGCTCCGATGACTTGGGAGTAGGGTTGCTGGCTGAGGTGGTCGCCGGGTGCGAGGCCATGACATTCAGGTAGCATGGATCAGCATCGGTCAGGCGACACCGGAGAGGGGTCACGGAAGGCAGGAGAGTGAAAGAGTCAGCAGTGTGGACTCAGAGGACATGGGGCTAAGGAGCTCGGAGATCTGGGGGGTGTGGCAGCTTTTAGGGATTTGAAGACTTGGGGATATGATGGTCAGGAAGAATGAGGATCCAAAGCAATGGGAAGTCAAGGCATCGGAGGCCATGGGGTGAGTGGGCATAGGGGCTAAGGGTGACGAGGCGAGGGGTTTTAAGGGTGCCAAGTCGGGATCAGGAGGTCAGAGGGCACAAGGTTGGGAGCTGCAGTCAGATGTGGGGTGTGTGGGTCAGGGGACTCTGAAGGTCCATTTGGGGCACAGCCTGAGATGGGCTGTGTGCCTGAGGATGTGCGTCTGTGAATGCTGCCTGTGAGTGTCTGTGTTCAAGACAGTGGTGGTGTCTGACAGTCTAGGTCTCTTAGGGCTGCTGTATGTGTCAGTGAGTGTTGCCTGTGAGGTGTCTCTTGGAGCAGGAAGCTGTTGTCTTTGGAAAGCTGTATTTGTAACTGTTGTCTTTGAAGTTGTGCTGTGAGGGTATGGCTATTGTCTAGATGACTGTTGCCCATGAAAATGGGCATCTGTGGGAGTTACCCAGAAGATCATGTCTGTATCCACGAGTGCAGCTGTTGGTGGTGAGGCTGTGTGTCTGTAGCTGTTGTCTGTAAGGGTGTATTAGAGCATGTGACTGTTATGGTAGACAGTGTGAGTCTGAGGCTGTTCTGAGGGTGTCTCTACTTAACTGTGAGGGGTCTGAGAATGTGGGGTTGTAGGCCTTGAGTGTGTTCAGGGGTATTTGTGAGGGTGTGACTGTGCAAGGATGTGGCTGTTGTCGAGAGTGCTGAGAAATGTGAATCTGTGTGAACACGCGTGCACAAATGTGGCTCTTTGTGAGAGCCGGGTCCATGAAGCTGTGGGCTCTGTCTGTCTAGGGAAGTGTGGCTGCTATCAGTGAAAAGTCTGGGTCTGTGCGTGTTGTCTGGGAGACTATGCAGGCTCCGTCCCTTGAGAATGTGTACCTAACAGTCTGCAGAGGTGAGTGTCTGCAGTGGCCTGTGTGAAGGAGTCTGGGTGCTGCCTGGCACTGTGCCTGTATGTGAGACTCTGTACCTATGGGTGCAAGTGTCTGAGTGTGTGGTGGGGAACACAGTCTGGGTGTGGGTCTGGGTGAGTCAGGTTTTGATGGTCACTGAGTATTCAGGAAAGATGTTTGAGGGTGTCACAATTAAGCTTGTGTGACTGCAGGGACAGTCCCTCTGGTTCTACCAAGCAGACCCCTATACCACTCAGCCACTGCCCTGTCCCAAGCTGGTCGCTTACCTGGCTCCGTCCTGGAAGTTTCAGGGAGCCCCGGGGCCCCACAGGGGGCTGGGGGCAAATGCTGCTCAGGCCTCCTGGGTCCACCCTGCCCAAGGAAGTGAAGAGAGGTGAGGAGCTGCCTTGGGTGGGGTTCACTCCCCTATCTCACCCCCTCTTTGGACATCAGCCAACCCCCCTCCATTTTAGACTCCCTGATGAGAGCCCTGGTTGTCATAGCAACTGTAACTAGGGAGCTCAGCCACCTGGTTCCAAGGGCCCAGGAATGAGTAGGTGTGCTCAGGGGGCAACTGTTGGGGATGTCCTGGCCTCAGGAGGCCCTCTGGACTGATGGGGACTGTGTGAGGAGGGACTGGCCTCTAAACACACGTCCAGAGCTACACACAGCACACAGTCACATGTGTGCATGCAAGTCCTGCCTGCCGTTGTCCCTACAACACAGTCACAGGTCTCTGCACATTTACTGTCACACGGACATAACCACAGCGACACAGCCCAGGTCCACACAAAATCACAGCTACTATAAACACTTGGTGTCACCTAGCCACATTCACCCACAATGTCTCCAGATATCTGTCCTCGTGCACAGAGTCCCAACCTACCTTGGCACTGCCACAACATCTGATCACATCAGCTCTTGCTATGTGGTCACTCCTATTCTCTCAGCCACACACAAAATGCTGGGCCCAGGTGCACCCAGCACAGTGGCACATACTCAACCGCACCCGGTGACAGTTATACTCCCACCCAATGACCCCTGTCATGGACCCACCCATGAAGAACCACACCCAGCCAGAGATCACCTATTTGATCACCCCTAAACCCAAATCACACCCAGACACACTCATAGCCACACACACTTGTCACGCACAGCTCTACTGCTGCATGCTGACATCTGGTCACTGAGACAGGCAGATGCATGCGCATTTGGTCACACTTAGCCACACCCTGGCCCAAGCACATGGCTGCACATGGACACCCCACCCCAAGTCTGTCAGTCACACAGTTGCACAGAAGCAGTCATAGGGCAGGCATTCAGTCACTTCCTTGGACAGACCTCCATACCCAATCGCACAAAGGGACAGGGATGGCCTCGGCTCATGCAGCAGAGAAATAAACAGGCAAAACCACCCAGAGACAACAGTCCCCCCGGGTAGCCGTGCTCAGATACTGCCAGACACACTTCAGCGTGGTCGTGTATGCAAAGTCACACAGCATTAGGGTCCACGCCACCCTGCCATCTATCAGTCACGGTACCCATACCCAGGGTCCCAGGCACAGCCATACCATGTCATCCGATCACCGAGAGTCTCTCTTCAAGCAAGTACACAAGTCACCCGGACAAGTAGGTGACCACATACGATCATACAATCACAGCCCCGTGTGGCAGACACACAACATCTCACATCAGAAGCACACAGTCAGGTGAATGCTGAGAAATGCAAGACGTAGCACTGATAAGCTGTTTACCTAGAAGGCTCGGGTCTCTGACAGAGTCATGCAGCAGTCCAGAGAGTCACTCCATCACCAAATCGCCAGTTCAAACACAAGTAGAGCAGCATGCATGCTGACAGACACACATACACCCAGCAGCCACACAGACTGTCACAGACCATGACATAGATATGACCCAGGGTCATAGATATGCAGGTGTCAGACAAATATAGAAATCACAGTCACATACACCCCCCCCCCACACAAACACATACAGTTACCTGGTGCCACCACACATAGACACACCTATAGCTTAAGTCCCACACAATGAAATAACATTAATAGTCAGCCTGGCTTTCAACCCAAGTCAAATATATACCCCAAATCACACATGCCCTGATGTACATGCACACCATCAGTATCAACACCCAAGCTCGACACAGTCGTTTATACAGCCCTGGTCACATACACACAGATACAGGTATGAACACACAACCAATGTCATACACACGTCAAGTCACCACACATTCCAGTCACGGTGCTGTCACACTGTCACACAGGCACGCTGTGACTTCATCTACAATGGCATTCACCCACCCAGAGCTTGCAGGGACAGTTGTATGTCACAGACACATGTGTGACACATAAAAATCAGTGATAGACACAACCCAAACATCGAGGGAACTGCACATGGACACAGAATCATAGACACAACTCCACGCACACACAGTCACAACTCCACCCACATCTCAGTCAGCCACACACATGTCCAACCCCAGACTCAGCACAGATACTGTCACATACCCAGTTACCGCTAGCGAGGCACACACAGGGTCACCGAAGACGTAATCACAGACACGGCTATACAACTACGTACACGCTCAAACACGGACAGACTAAAAAAGTACAGGGCTCTGTATAGTGAGTGGCTGTCACACACATACACAGATGCACAAATGCTGGGGTCACACAGAGACACAATCACCGACACTACCAGACACAATCACGAGCACAGAACACAGAAAGAGACGCGATTCCTCGTAGTCACTAGCTGCAGCACACACATAGCCACAGTCACACAAACACGGGGGTCACACTCTTAGCCATCGCGATCGCTTCTTCCCTCCTTTCCCCCAGGTACCACACACAAAGCCACCCCGTCATCACAGACAGATGCTGCAGACAGACAAGGCTGCACTGAGTCCCTGGGGAGCCGCCCCCCATCCCAGCCTGAATCCCGAGCCTGGGGGGGGGGGGTCAAGACCAGAGGGGGAGGTGGCACATTGTCTGCAGGTGGGGCTGCTCCCAGACAGCTGGGCAACCCCAGGGACAAAGGGGGTGGCCCTGGGGACCTCTGCCCTAGGACCCTTGACTAAGCCTTTGTGGGAGAAGGAGGTTGCCTGAAATTTCTCTTATTTTATTCAGGGTGGGGGATGGGGGTGTGTGAAGCCCGAGGCACAGGGACCTTGTTTGGAGAAGGGGCTGCTCCTGGGACGCCGCCCAAGGATGAGTGGGGGACGGTCTGTGCCCAGCGAGCCTCTAAGGTCTGGGGACAGACTGAGCCTGGAATCCCTCCAGGCCTTGCCTTGGTGGGGAAGCTGTGCTCAAAGCCCACATCCTCAGGACCTTGCTTGGGGCTTGAGGCTCCCTCAGACAGGGAGGGGTTGGGGTTGCGTCTGGTCTGGAATTGCCTCCTGGACGCCTTGGCTTGATATGGGGGTTGTGTCCAGGACCCCATCCCCAAAATATTGCTTAGGGAGTTGTACCTTGAATTTATTCTCCTGTCCTTGATTTTTTTTTGAGGGGGAGGTCTGTGTCCGGGATCCCTGTCTTCAGGGCCTTGGCAAGAGAGGGCCGGTTCCCTAGACCCCTGTCTCCCAAGCTTAGGCTTGGTGGGGGACTGCTCCTACCCCCCCACCTAGGACCACCCTCCCAGCCGGGCACCCTCTCTCCATCCGGGCGCCGCGGCCGCCTCCCACCCTCCGCCACATCAGCAGCGGCGCCGCCCCCCACCCGAGCCCCCTCTCCCGCCCTTCTCACGCTGGCCGCCGCGCTGCGGGACATCCAGGGCCCGGGCGCCCCCGCCTCCCGCGGCCCCGGCTGGGCCCGGATCCCCGCGCGCTGCTGCTGCTGCTGTGGCGGCGGCGGCAGCTCGGTCTGAGGCGGGCCGGGGCCGGGGCCGGGGCCGGAGCGGGATGCACGCGCGCGAGCCTGCTCCGTCCTCGGGAGGATTCCGCTCCGGGGGCGGGGAGCGCCCCTCCCGCCGCGGCTCTCCCCGCCCCGGCCCCGCCCATTGGCCCGCCGCCTGCTGGATATGCAAAAGCCGCCCGCCCCCAGCCCGCGGCCCCGCCCACACGCAAATGAGGCCCCGCCCCCCGGCGCGGCCGCCGCCCCGCCACGCCCCTTGGCCCGCGCCGGCCGGGCGTGCACGCGAGCCGCGCGGAGCCCTTCTCCCCGGGGCGGCCCCGCGAGCGCTGCCGGCCCTCCGGACCCCCGGCCTCGGCTCCCCCTCTGCTCCTTGTCCCAAAGTTACTTCCGGAGGCACCTTGCGTCCCCACACCCCCAAATCTTCCAACTAACCCCACGGTTCTCCTAGCCCAGCGGGGGCGGGCAGGAGCGGTGACGAGGCACTTTTGCCGAGGACGGGAGGGGAGTGAACAGACCCCGGCGGCCCGGGGCGAGGTCGGCTCGGCTCGGGGGCGGGAGCGCCGGGCTGGGACCTGGGCGCGGTTCTGGCCGCCGCAGCGCCCCCGCTCCCGCCCTATGCTGTGGCTTTGGCAAAGCAGCTGGCGGAGGCATTAAGGCCCATTAGCAAGGCGAGGTTGCTGGGAGCCGAGGGGAGGTGGCGTGGGGGGCGGGGAGGCCTTCTCAGCTGCCACAGGCTTTAGAGCAGGTGGTCTGCACGTGCGGGGGATGGGGGCGCTGACAGGGAGAGGGGAGAAGGGGGTTCCCGGCAACAGATGGCCCAGGCTGGGCTGGGGCTTCCAGACAAGAGAGTGGGAGGGGGCTGGCCATCTGCACCTGGAGGCCACCGGAGCGCCAGTCCCCTCCCCCTCTTCGCTGAATAAAGAGCTGGGGAAAGGGGAGGTCCGCTTTTATTCCGACCGAAGGCTCGAGCACCCCCCAACCCCTCCCCGACGCATAGCGAGGATGGAACCAGGGGCGAAGGCAGCTGGTGGAGGCGTGAAAGAGGCAAAGGTGAGGGCTGCTTCACCAGCCACCGCCCTCTCCTCTTACTAGCCAGATCACGGGAGACCCGAGCAGAAGTGAGGGGCTCCCCCTCCACATGAATCAGGACCTGCAGCCCCCTCCCCTGTTGGCCGTCACAGGTGACTGGTTCCAACGACACTTTGGAATGGGGAGAGCAGGACATGGGGGTGTGCTTTGGGGAGTTTTCCAGCCCCAAGTTCCCCAGCCCTTGGGCAAGAAAGGAAGACTGGGAGGCCCAAGGGTGCCCCAGCGTTGGAGCAGGGTGGGAAGGGTCGTCCTATCGGGATGGTCCGTTGTGCTGCTGGAATCCCCCCATGGAGCTGGCCGAGGATCTGACAGGACTCCGTTCTGATCTGGAGGCTGAGGGCAGTGGCTATGCCTGGCGACTGGCCCAGTAGCGGTGGTAAGTGTCCTGGAAGAGGTCCCGGCAGGCGATGCGGGCTTGGAGGCGGGCACAGGCCAGGAAAGCCCCTGCCAGCTTGCGGTGCAGGGCATAGGTCTCCTCAGGGGGCGGGCGGAGTCGGTGCTGCAGCAGGACAGGGATGAGGCCCTGCACTCGGCGGGCAGTGTCACCTGCCCCGAAGTCATAGGGGCCCCTGGATGCAAAGGGCTCCCCCAGGATCATCACAGCCTCCACGTGGGCATCAGAGAAGGCCTAGGGGTGGGGAGAACAGAGGCACCAGTATGGAAGCACAGCCCCCACTTAACCCAGAAAAGACCAGAGGCGCTCAGCTCCCTCAGAGTCTCAAGTATAAACACGTGCCCTCAAAGCCTGGCAGAGCAGACTGAGCCTCTAAGCTTTCCAAAGCCCCTAGGAGACACAAGCCCCCCGACTCTCCCCAAAACAAATGGCCCTTTGCTTTCTCCCAGAACCTCCAATAGACAAACAGCTCCCAGTCTCTCTAGAGCAGGTAAGCAGCCTCCAGCCCCAGCCCCGGTACCTACTAGTAGCCCCCTACTCCCTCCCCCCAGAACAGATAAGTGGTGCCCATTCTTCCAGGGCTCCTGAGTGGCCAAGCAGCCCCTCTCCCTCTACTTCTCCACATAGCCCAGGCAGAAGCAAACAGCTCCCCACGCCTCCCCAACAGCTACCAGCCCCCTGCTCCCCCAGTGTCTGCCAACCTTGGTTTCGAAGCCTGTAAGGAATTTGAGGTCCCGGGATTTCTGCAGGACCCGGTCACGGTCTCCATTGGCTGCAGCCATCACAACCTGGGGAGATGGGGGGAGCATAGGGTCAAAGGCCAAGTGAGGTTCAAGGAGGAGTCAGTTGGGAGAACTGGAGACAAGCCTGTCCTCGCTGCCACCCACTTCCATTCTCACCTACCCAAGCCCTCTTAACTAGAAACCTTTCTCTCACTATGGCGCCTGTCTCCCTCAAGCCTGCTCTGGAGCCTGGGGGTGGGGGGGTGGGGCCGGGGGTTCTGCCGACCTGGTTGGGAAAGCACAGCCTGTAGGAAACTACCAGAGGGCAATAGCACAGAGGAAAATAGAGGGCAAGTGCTGCCTGTGTCCACTCACTCACTGGACCAGGAGGTGACCGTGGCCCAGAACTGCCTCTAGGGTGGCCACTGGGCCCTCTGCGACTGCCTGGTTGATGTCCGCCTCCTACTCTGGACTTGGGCCCTGGGAGAGCTGGGATCCCTGTTGGGTTGGGCTGAGTCCCATGTGGCACAGGATGTGGCCCTCAGGAAGCCCTGGGTATAAATCTTTGTTTAGCAAATTAGCGTGCAGAGCTAAGCACCTCTCCAGACATGAGTGCACAGGGAGGGCAGGGGTTGCAGGCACACAGACAAGCAAAGGCAAAGCTGGCCTGCCTGGGCTCCATCCCAGTTCTGTCCCTTGCTGGCTAACACCCAGCAGGAGGCTTTGCCTCTCTGGCCTCCACTTCTCATCTGTGAATTGGGGATGATGAAACTCTTCCTCCTAAGGACAAAGGTGGCTGCATGTAGGAAAAAGCTCATAAATATTATGAGCTTATCTTTCAGAGGTGGAGATCAGGGTCCTTGCTTCACAGAAAAGGAAGCTGGTTCAGGCTAGGAAGCAGCCAGGAGAGGCGGGGAAGCTGGCTCAGACCCTTAGCCACTGAGGTGCCCTTTCTGGGGAGGAGGGGGAATACAGAAGCAATCTGGCGGTTGTGTTCTGTCTCACCTCCCCCTGCCTGCGCCTGTCTGGCCATCTGTCAGGCCTGTGGTCCTTGGGGGGCCATGTGACAGGGCTCTTTTACACTGGAAAAGGCTAGGGAGGGGGCAGGAGGACCACGTTTAATAGGCCTGAGGGTGTGCGGGGCACGGATGTCCCAACCACCCAGAGAGGCTTGGGCTTTCTGCCTGAAGGGGCCTGTGTGTGTATGAAGGGGGGATGTGGCAATTACCAGCTCCTCCTTCCTGTCTCCATCTTAGGAGTAGCCCCACTACTCCCTAATCCCCAAATCAGAATGCTGACACCCCACAGCATTCTGGGATTCCCAACCCCCAGTCTTAAAGGCCTCTGGTCTTAAAGACCACTCCTCATTCAGAGGGAACTCTAATTCTGAATGCACCCCTCCCCTGCTCAACTCCCTTCCGTGGCTCCGCAGGGTACCCCAATAAAGCCAAGCTGCACAACGTGGCTTCTAAGACCCAGACTGATTTGGCTTCTGCCTCCTTGCTGGCTCTTGCTCCACTTCGCCCACCTGCCCTGTCAGCCCATGAACTTCCTCTTGACTTGCTAAGACCTTATTACCCAAAGTGTGATCCCTGCTCAAGTAGCTCTGGCCTTACCTGCGACTGTTAGAAATGCAGCCTCTAACTCGGGACCAGAATCTGCATTTTAACAGGACCATGGGGTGGGGGAAGTGGGTACCACATGCACATTAAAGTTTAAGAAGCAACTTTGCGCATGTCTATCTGGACTGCCCTTCGAGCTGCTTCTGACTGGTCTCATCCTTCCGGTCTTAACTCGGATGATGACTCTTCCAGGAAGACTTCCCTGACCTCCTAGGCTGGGCCAGACTCTTTGAGGGTCCATGGTCTCTTTCGCCTCCCCCACCCCATTCCTGACCACTCTGGGCAACTGTTGGCCACCCCCACACCATTTGAGAGCTCTGTTGTCCCGGAATTGCTCAGAACAGAAGAGGGGCCTGACGTGTGAACTAACAATTATCCCCAGCTCAAAGGACCCATCTCAACAAGTTAACAAGATAGTGTTCTCTATGGCCTCTGAGGGGAATTGACCATGCTGGGTAGGAGGGATGGTGGGAGGCAGGGGCCGGAGGCATGGCCAGGCCATGTTGGTGAGGAAGCACTTCCTAAGGTAAAAGCTGCGAGGAAGTACCTGAGTGCAAGCCTGGACACCAAACCCTGGATAGGGTGGGACATGGGGATGTGACACGATGGCCACTGCGGGTCTTTCTCTTAAGAGGGGTTAGCAGCATGAGTGAGCCCTGGACCAAGACTATGGGTTTGAGTCCCAGGTCTGCTGTGATCTTGAGCAAATTACCTAACTTCTCTAGCTCCAGACGCTTCATCTGTAAAATGTGGCAAAAAACAGTCCTTACAGTTATGTAGCTGAGATCAGCTACCCCATGTACAGCTCTTAAAACAGAGTGTGGCAGGACCTCAGATGACAGTCAAGTTCAACAGCAGGTGTTAACCCCCTTACACTGTTTCACTTCAAGCAGCAGCTTTAGGTTAAGTGAGGAATTACTGTATTAAGTGCTTGCTATTTGCTGGCTGTTGCTATTACTATTGCCTATGGCTTCTTAGTTCTAGATACTGTATTTTCCTTCTCACCCTTGCCTCAGGATCTGGCTTGAGCCTTGGCCCTTCAGAGACCCCCAAATAGAGGAGACTCACCTCAATGTAATGATCTGTGAATTCAGTCCCAAATTCCCGGCTCGCACCAAAGTCCAGCAGGGTCACCTGGGAATGGGGCATGGTGAAGGGAATGCTGGGAGTTCACCCACGTGCCCATTGTCTGTGGGGGCAGCCTGGGCCATCTCTCCCTCCCCACACCCTGCCCATCCTGCAGAGTCTCCAGCTGGCGACCTCCCTGGCCTCCAGCCTCCATACTTCCAACGCACTCCACATGAAACTGCAGAGCTTTTATTTTTTTGGTCCTTGTTTTTATAACAACATGCTTTAGGCACAGAAAAAAATTCCAGACAATAACAAAGTATATGGAAAAGTAAAATGAACACCCACAGGTCCAACCACTGGCACAAAATATGAAATACTATTGCCAACCCAGCCTTGCCAACCCAGATTGCAGCCCCATCTTCTATTCCAGGGTCACCACTACCCTCGAATTATTATTACATTATTGCTTCCTGAGATCCCTGTGTTTCTATACTTTCTATATGTGCACAACCATAAACAATACATAGTACTATTTCGCTTCTTTTAAAATTCCACATAAATGGTATTTGCAGTATTATCGGTATTATGGTATTTATGGTATTATCCCCCAACTGGCTCTTTGGGGTTGACATGGCTTTGTGTTTACCCCCTCGCTCTGTGAAGCACTTGCTTATTCCTTCATTTCTTCACTGTGATGGAAGGACTTGGTTACATAAATACATCACAGTGCATTTACCTGCTTGACGGACATGGGGTTGTTTCTAGGTTTTGCTATTTAGAACAGGGCTGATGAACAAGGAAGAGTTTCTCTAGATTCATGGAGCTTGAACTATCAATCACAACCCACGGTGAGAAATACACATTATGTTGAGTGTCAAGTGTCAAGCAAACATGTCCCAAAATAGGAATCCCTCCCATCAGCAACATGCTGATATTTTGTATTTTATGCCATTAAAACAAACAAAAGCTACTGAGACCCAAAAGACTGATATCAGGACCCCTATCACCACCACCAATACCCCCTCTTCTAGAGTTAGAAAAACACCTCCCTGGGGTGTGAGCCTGAGAGGGGATGTGGGGTATGTGTACATTTGGGGAGCTGTGGGTGGCAAGGGACTGAAACTGGAGATGCAGGGGAGACCCATCCCAACTCCAAATAGGTCTCACACTTGACCCAGAGGGTGTGGGCAGCTTGGAAGGGATAGCTTAGCCAGGCTTGTGTTTCAGAAAGATCCTCCAGGGACAGATGGGCACAGACCACTCTGGAGAGACATTCGGCAATTTAGTCTTTCAGTCTAAATTCTTAGACAAGGCCTTTGGGGTGAGGGTCCTCTGCTGGGATGCCCTTCGCTGCTTTCTATGTAGTTGCTGGTTCATCTTCCTGGTTTCATCTTTAATGGTATTTCCTTCAAGGAGACTTTCTTGGCCCTACCCCAAAATGAGTAAGTCCTTCCCCTGGCTTCCTCCAGCCCCCTGTTCCTGCCCTGTGCCAGCCTGACGCTCTGCCTGTGCCTCCCCCATCAGTAACACTGTGGCCTGTGCTACTCCCTGGACTAACTGCTCTAGGTCATCATTGTCTGGTGGAACCTTCCCACCCTCCCTGGACTGGGAACTCTGAGAAGGTGAGGATCAGGGATGTCTTTTCGTTGTTGTTAGGGGGTGTGTTTTAAATGAATGCACCTGTGGTAGTGATCACTAACTGCCCCCCAAAAGTTGTGCTTCCTCTTCATACTGTCACACTGCTACCAGGAAGCCACTGTCTAGACAAGGACTCCATTTTCTAGCATCCTTTGCAGCTAGATAGGCCACATGACCTGTTCTCATTGATGGGCTGGTAAATATGACATATCTCTTCTGGCCAAAGCAGTTAGGCAAGGAGTTATCCTCCCAATCTCAGTCTCCCCTCCCACTTGAAGCAGAACACAGCAGGGTCTAGGGGAAAGCACTCAAGTCCCTGAATCACTGCCTGGAAGAAAACCACCAGTTTGCTGTGTGGGTATTAAACTATTGTTGGGTTGAGCATGTGAAATATGGGGAGATATTTGTTACAGCAGTTAATGTACCTGACATGCACCACAAGAAACCAACCTGGTGGCTGGAGGCATCATACAGGAAGTTGGCCCAGTTGGGGTCTGTCTGCATGAATCGGAACTCAAACAGTTCCCGCAGACACAGCCTCAGGAGCTGGAAGCAAATCTGAGGGGGACAGAAGGAATAACAGGCATCTCCACGTGACCTGCCCCTGTTAAGCCCTCTCTGGTCTGAGAGGGACCATGTCCTGCCAGTCCCACCCCGGTACAGCTCCCTCCTACTGCCTCACAAGACCACATACCTGGTTCCGAATATCCTGGCTCAGGCCTTGGCACTGGTCCAAGGGGACCCCTCCGGCCAGCTCCATGCCCAGCACTCGGGTTGTGCAAAGCTCTGTAATCACAGCTGGCACCCGGAAGAAGGGGTCATCTGCTAACAGCTGCCTAGGGCAGAAGGGGAAAGAACAGGATGAGGTGCCTCAGGACCCTGTGGCGCAGCTGCAGACCTCCTCTGAGAGGCTCTAGAGCCTCTTGTCTGTCTGCCCTGAGTGATGGTCAATACCTGTCTGGTCTGACATTCACTCAGAAATTTCATTCATTCACTCACTCATTTATTCAACAAATATCTCTGTAGCGCGTACTCTGTGCCTGCTCCTAAACTGACTGCTGCTGGAGACCTAGTTACCACGTCCTTATCTGAAACACAGCTGTGGCTTCTGGTTGCCCCAGGAGGAGCTGGAGACATTCAGCTGGATGAGCATTAACTTTTTCATCAACTCATTAGTACATCCAAAAAAGAGTCACTAATATAAAGATTTCTGAGTCCACAGCAATTCTCACTGGCCACTCCCTGGGGGCATTACTCAAAACACTGGCTAATAAAGGGACAGATGTTCAGCATCTGTACCCTTGCTGGATGATGCCGGGGACAGAGCCGTGGATGAGCCCTGGGTCTGCCCCCCACACCCCAGAGACCACACTCCCCAAACAAGCAGACAAGTATTAGATAGAGATAAGTGTGTCAATGCAAGATTCGGAAGGCAAAGAACCTAAGTGAGGCCGCTTGGTGGGGATCTGGGACAGCTGTAGTGAGGGGGGGGCAGGGACCTGGGAAGGGGCTGGGGAATGACATGGGTTTTATTCTCAGTGTAAAGGTAGATCCTGGAGGAAGGAAAATCCCACCTTGCACCGTCCCCCAAGGTCTAGCTTGGGGCTTGCATTTCTGTCCTTGTTCCCTTTAATTCTCATTGGCCTACAGAAGGGGAGGCCACACTGTCTGTTAAGGGCTGACCAGGGATAAGGTCCTGCCTTGGACCAGCACAGCAGTAGACGATGAGGCCACCTCAGGGTTGAGAGAAGCGTGCAGGGTGGTCAGGGCATCGGAGAAAGAAATGACAAACAGACACACTTCAAGAGTGAAAATCTGAGTGTAATTTTCTTTGAGTTTGTGACCAATATATATATGTTTTCCAAAAGCACAGGGACAATGAATATCAATGAAATCAGCTTGCTCATGGGCTCAGTCTATCACCATCAAGGAGGTGATCTACATAACAAGCAATGACTTTTATAGAAGAAAGAAGGAAGTTTAGAAAGACAATAAGGGATTAAAGTTTGTAGTTCTAGAAAGATGGGATAAGTTTAGCATTCTTGTAGTGGTTCCTGGTGGTCGTTATCTTTTGATAAGCTTCTGCCTTTTCAGGGAACTTCCGCTGTACTTCCTCTGCTTCAGGGTGTTATGCTGTTCTCCCCCTGCGCGCTGGTTGCCCAGCCGGACCTAGGGACCATAGCAAAAGCCATTCCTAAAGGTCACTGCGGGGGGAGGTGCAGCAGGTATGTAGGGTTTTGCTGTTCTCCCTCTGCGCGCTGGTTGCCCAGCCGGACCTAGGGACGGTTAACCCTAAAGGTCACTGCAGGGGGAGGTGCAGCAAGGTCCCACTCTGAGTCCAGGGCCCATATCCCTAACCACTGCTATCAGTTGCACTTTCTCTCATTCTGTATCTACAAAGCATACTAGAAGCAGCACGTGGGCCACACTGTGAAGAATCTCACTGGGGTGTACGTAAGTGCTCCTGTCTTGATGCTTCTCAGAAGCAACATCATTCCATGGAGCTGCACATTCATCTTCACTGCTGTATGATATTCCACTTGTGAATATACCAGAATTTAGTTATCCGCCCTCCTGGATGAATTTGATAGATTTCAGTTGTTTCCAGTTTGGGGCTATTGCTTCTCTGCGCATTCTGGGAAAGTCTAAAGGTGTATACTGGTATGAGTGTCCCTCGAGTATTTAGCAAGGAGGATAACTGTTGGGTTGCCCGTGAATATCAAGGCTTATTCAGTGATGCCAAACTGTTCCCCAAAATGCTTATGTCAGTCTCCTCCTGCCTAAAGTGTGTAAGGGGTGCCCTGGACCACCGGGGCCTCCAACTCTTGACACTGTCATACAGCTTAGTCTTTGTCAGTGGGTGTCACAGTATCTTCTGTCATTAAATACCTGTTGACATGTCCCACTGCTGTGGTTACATACGGGGACCCACTTCATAGATGCAATAACTGATGCCTAAAGAGAGGACGTGATCTGTCCAAGCTCACGGGGCTAAAAGAAGCCATGAGCGAATGGAGGGTGAGCAACTGAAGAAAGAGAAGAGTTGCCAGCGCCAGCCCAGGGCTCCAACTGTCAGAGGCTGAGGCGGCATCTACTTCCCACAGACTGGGAGAGAGGAAGGAGAAAAGGTGGGGAGAAAGGGTTCTCCAGGGGCCTGCAGGGGGCTCAGCTTACCTGAAGTTCTGGGCACAAGCTGCCTCGCGAAGGTAGTCACACTCCCAGGCCAGCTCCTGCTGCAAGGCCTGCAGGCTCTGCTCAGCAAACAGGCCTGAGGGGGCAGCCATGTCAGCAGGGAGAGCACAGCTGCCCGCCCCGGCCCCTCAGACATGATGCCTGCTCCTGCCCGTTAGTCTGTCACTCTCTGTCCAGACACTTCCTCTGTCTGCAGCCTCTCCTGGGGGGTCTGTCTCTTTCACAGGCACACACACCACCTACCCTAGCTCTGCCACACTCATTCACACTGTTTTCTGTCTCTGAATCTTCTAGGGCTGCCTTCCACTGCCCCTTTGTCCTTGCTTTCTTTCTCACTTATTTTTTTTAAGATTTATTTTTACTTATTTTATTTTTTTTTTAAGATTTGTTTATTTATACAAGCACTGGGTATAGTCAGAAGCGCGGGAGGGTGAGAGAATTCACCAGAGCCCAGAACGGGGAGCAGAGCAGGCAGAAGGACCGAAGTACACTGCTGAAGGGAGCAGCGGGCGGCAGGAGAGGTCTGCGCGCCATGTGGGACCCTCCTCGGTGGCAGGGGAGCAGCCGGGGATCGAACCGGCGCTGCAGAGGTTGTGGGCAGCTTCGCAACCCAGCGCTCAACCACTGCGCCACCGGGGAGGCCCTTTTTACTTATTTATGCATAGAAGAACTGGGGGACAGGCCAGAGGTGTGGGGTGTGTGTGAGAGGATTCACTAGAGACAGAGTAGGGAACAGAACAGGCAGATCTACTGAAATACACTGTTGAGAGGAGCAGTGGGTGAGTCAGGAGAGGTCTGCTGAGCCATGTGGGTCAGCTCCCTGGCCGGGGGTGGAACTCAGGCTGCACTGGCTGCAGATAGCTTCATGGTGCTGGGACTTTTAATCCCTGTGCCACCAGGGAGGCCCCTCTCTCTGGCTCTTTCACACACACAGGCATCCCCCCACCCACCTCACCCAGTCCACCCTTCTCAGGTGCTGTCTCATGTGCTGTAACAGACTCAGTCCCACTCCCACTGCCTTCCTGCTTGGCTCTTTTTAGCATACCCTCCATGTCTGTTTCTAGATTTCCAGCTGGGCTTCTATCTCTCAGTGTCTCTGTCATCACCTCTAAGTTCATCTTTCCACAGATGCTCGCACTCTCTGGCTCTCCCGGCCAGGCATCCCTTCTCTCTGTCTCAAACACATAGACTTATACCCCCGCCGCCCCCACCACATACACACACAGAGGCATGCTCTGCCCCTACTCCTCCAAAGGGCCCCACTTTCTTTCTTCAGGGCACCCCTCCCTCCCTCCCTTAGGGATGAGTGGGGCCTCACCCTCTGGCAGGGCCACACTCATCTTGAGCACTGCCAGCAGGTTCTGCACGTCACTCTGGATGCTCTGGGCAACACCTGGGTACTGTGAGGGCCAGCGGAAGGATGGACGTCACTCCTTCGGGACAGCAGGGTGCCCACCCAGCCCGCCCTCCTTCCCTCTCACCTGGATCTTCACGGCCACCTCTGTCCCGTCCCTCAGCACGCCCTGGTGCACTTGCCCGATGGAGGCAGCAGCAAAGGGAACCTCCTCCAAAGAGGCCACCTTGGCCTGCCAGTCCTTGCCCAGCTCCTCCTCGAGAACTTTCTGGGGAGAAAGTAATGATCACTGTCAAGGACATGGGCCTTGAGTTTATTTACTGTGCTGAGCGTTCTACATGTTAACCTCAGTGTTCACCCAGCGCCAGGCCCGGCCATGCCCTTGGCTGCTACCCCATTTTACAGATGAGGAAACGGAGGCTCAGAGGAAAGTCTCTTGGCCATGATGACCAGGCCGGCCCTGGTGGACTCTGAGCCCTCCTCCCAACTTGCACTTGCCAAGCCTGGACTCCCGAGGCTGTGCAGGCTGCTGTTGGGGTTTGCCATTATATACAGATAAATAATAAGCCTTTATTATACTCATATTATTAATGTGAGTAATATGTGATGAAGAAGAGCTAAAACTGAGAGAGGCTTCCGGTGGGCCATGTCCTGTTCAGAGTGACTGAGAGAGGGGCAGTAACTGCACAGGGTTACGTGGCAGAAGCACCAGAAGGAAAGCAGGTGGTTGGATCCCTATCCCATATCCTTACCCACTGATTAGAAGAACAGCTCATGTCTTGGGCACTTACTCAGTGCCAGGCGCTGTGCCAACCTATTTACAGGCAAGATCTCCGTTAATTAAAAAAAACCTGTAATAATAACAGCTAACTCTTGCATGTCACTCACAGTATATCAGGGGCCGTTCTCTGGGCATAACATGTACTAATTTATACCTGCCCTGAGCTGCCAGTGGGGCTGAGTGCCCTGCACCATTTGGTTAATCATCACAGTCCTACCTAGGGTGAGTTCTGGTGCTCCTCATTTTACAGAAGGGGAACTGAGGCGTGGCGTTAGGCAGGGAGGAGAGCCAGGCAGATCAGGCATGATCATGCCCCTCGCTGCCCACACCCAGGGGCACTCACCAGCATCTGCCAGCGGGGCATGAAGTCGGCACTCTGGCGCACTCGCTCAAAGATGCGCTGTAGCTGGGGGCTGATGAAGCTGTTGTCTTGGGAGACAGCAGGGTGAGGGAGGCAGTGAGGGAGGAGGGGAGAAAGGACCCCCATGGGCGTATCTGCAGTTGGGGGAGGTTAAAGTGTGGGGTGGGGTGGAAGTGAGGTCAGGGGTCATGAGTCGAGGATTTTGCCATACCCTGGATGCTGAGCATTTGGCCAACCTTGAGGGCGGCCCCCCGAACTGTACACAAGGTCTGCACGATGCGCTCAGCGTTGGCCTCTGACAGGAAAGGGCTGGCACCTGGGCGGGAGCCACCCTCTGGGGTGGAGAGAATAACTATTAGTGTGGCAGCCACAAAAATAGCCATTGTAACACCACTGTATGCCCTCCAGAGGACTAAGATGGAAAAGACAATATCAAGTGTTGGCAAGGACTAAGGACATGGAGCAGTTGGAATGCCAGCCCCAAGCTCTCTGGAGAGCAGCTAGTAAGCCTCTAAAGTACATGCCTGTACTCAATGCAATGCTTCTCAGTAAAGTACCACAAGAAACACGTAAATATGCCCAGCACAGTTATCCCAAGAAGGTTCACAGAACCCTGTTCATACCAGTCCCGAGCTATAAACAACCCAAATGGCCACCAAGAGAATGAACAAAGGCACCAAGGAATCATCACAGTGACTCCCGCAGCACCAGTAAACAGCCTTTATCTACGCACAGCGAAGTGGATGCAGCTCTCAAATATCACATTGAACAAAAGAAGCCACACATACAAAAGAAACTGTCCACACTGCTGTGAAGCACAAACAGCAATCTTGGGTGTCAGAAGCAGAGACACCTTGGGGGCACAGAGGCGTGACCAGAAAAGGGCATGAGAAGAGCTTCTGGAGAAGGCAGAAACCTAGGGCAGCCAGGGGGACCCCTGAGGGTCCCTGAGACCTTTCAGGAGGGGCTACGAGATCAAAAATATTTTCATATTAATATCAATATTATTTGCCTCTTTTTTATTCTCATTCTCCCACAAATGTTCAGAGTAGTTTTCCAGAAGTTCCTTAGTCCGTGTTGATGTCACTTCTCTGATAGCCTGTGTGTACTTGTATTCTTCTGTTTTAAAAAGTCCCAGTTTTCATCTCTAATACAGTAAATATCCATATATATATTATATGTATATGGACAAAGAGCTTGTTTGTGTGGGATATATATATATATATATATATGTATGTGTATATATATATATATATGTATGTATCCCTGTTTTTTAAGTTTTAGTGAGATATAATTTACATCCCATATAATTTACCCTGTTGAGGTAGATGGTTGAATGCCTTTAGTCTCTCTGAGTGTGCCTCTCTCCCCAACTTTAGAATGTTTTCATCACTCCCAAAAGAAACTCTGTGCCTATCAGCAGCCACTCCCATCCCCCCAACCTGCCCCCCTCTGCCCCCACACCCCCAGTCTGGACACTACTAACCTACTTTTTGTCTCTATACATTCCCCTCTGCTGGACAATCCAAATAAACAGATCAGACAGTATGTGGCCATCTGGGCCTGGCTTCTTTCACTCGGGAACGTGTTTCAACATTCCCCCGCACTGCAGAAAGGATCAACGCTTCCTTCCTGTTTATGGCCAGTGATCTCCCATTGCAGGGCTAGGACATGTTTCATCCATCCATTCCTTGGTTTTAAGAGTGTCCAGGGATGCTAACACCAAAAGCTTAAGAACTGCTGTTCTAGGGGGTCTTCAGCAGAGTGCACAGACGTGTCTACTTTGTGCAAATGAACCAAGCTGCTGGCTTCTGAGGCATACATAGTTCCACATGCAAATTACATTCATATTCAATAAAGCCTTTATACCTTTTACTTTAAAACCTATTGAGCACTTTACTAAAGGTTCACCATGAGCTGGGAACCTTTGGGGATCCTCTGGCTGTATCCCCACAATTAACTTAGATGCTTTTTTTAACCTTTCAAATGAGGAAGCAGGAGATTCAGAGAGGGTTAGTGCCTGGCCCTGGGTCACACAGCATAAAAGTAGCGGAGCAGGGTACAGATCTAGGTTCATCTTACCCTAAAGTCTAACCCTCCAAACCCCAACTTTCTATTTTGAAGAAAATCCAAACAGACAGAAAAGTTGCCTGCGTGATACCATGAGCACCCACGCACCCAATCCAACAGTGTAACCTTCTGCTTTATCGGCTTCATCTGTGTCTGTACCCAAACACTTACTATTATTATTTTATGCTGACCCACTTGCAGGCAGTTGCACTCAAGCTCTGCTACCAATAAGGATATTCCCCTACACAATCACAGCATCGTAATCACACCTAGGAAAATTAACACTCACCCCCTAATATCTACTACCCAGCCCACGTTCAGATTCCCCCCATTGTCCCCCGGTCTTTCGCACTTTTTTTTTAAACTGACATCCAACACAGTGCACACTGTCCCATTTGTCAGTTAATGTCTCTTGCATCTCTTTAATCTGAATATTCAGAGCCAGTATTGCTTCAAGACACTATCTTAGTAAGGAATCTTACCCACATGTTTATCTCCTCACATTTTCGCCCATCTTTGGTATACACAGACCTATTTTCAGTTTTCCTCTCCTTTTCAGTTAGGAATTCAACTTCTGAGCGTTTAATTTTTTTATTTCTCCCAAGATATGCTTCCATCCCTCACAACCCTGATCCCTGCTCAGCCCTGTTCTGAACTTTTCACAGTGATTCTAAGAGGCAGGTATATTATCATCACCTCTATTTTCCACCAAAAGAAACTGGGGCTCTGAGAGGTGTTGCCACTTGCCCCAGGTCACCACGCTGGATTTGAAGGCAGTCAGAGTGGCTCACTCACCTGACTGTAGGCGTCCTCCTGGCAGAGACTTCTTGGCCAGCTCAGCCAGCGCTCCTAGCCCCAGGCCCACGGCCAATCCTGGAGTGAGAGAGGAGGCTGAGCACCCTCCGGCCCTGGGCTCTCTCCGCACCCCCCCACCCCCACCCAAACACACCTGTCTCCCAATTCTTTGAGGCCAACTCTCTCTGTTCCCAACTCAGCCTCCTCTCACTTGTTCTCTCCTTGCTTGGGGTTCCTTTAAAGGGGGGATCTCCCCCTTTCTCTAGCCCTCTCACCAGGCATCCCTCTCTCCTGCTACACACTGCAGTCATTTGAGAAGCTTTTATAAATATATTATTGCTCAGGCCCGAATGCAGAGGTTCCAGGCCTGAGATGAGGCCCGGAAACCTGAATTTCTTAAGTACCCCAGATGACTCTAGTATGCATGCAGCTAAGGATAAGAGGCCCTGAAATGATCACCCCTGGGGCTCTCTGTCTCTCTATGATGCCTCTTTCTCTGTCCTCACCTCCTTGTCTTCATGCTCACCTCTCCTTTTTCTAAGGCAACTTTTCTCTACCTCTCCCCTTCCCTCTACCTGCTACATCTGTCTAGGCCTCTTTCTGTTACTCTATTTGATGTTATCTCCCTAACTCTGATTTCCTCTGCCTCTTCTGTCTCTGTGTCCCTTACTCTCTGTCTCTCTCACTGTGACCACTGCTGTAAGTAGTCAGAATGGCATTTTTGGAGCATTTTCAAAACACCAGGAACCATTCGTGCCTCTCAGGCATGAAATCATTTTGTCCTCACACCCTTGTGAGGAAAGTTTTATAGAAGAACTTCCATTTTACAGAAAAGAAAATCAAGACAAGTGGCCGCCACAGTCACAAAGTGAGGACGGGGTAGAATCACCCCTTGAGTCCTAGGCAGCCTGGTGTTAAAGTTTGAGCCTGTACATTGGTTTCCCTCTTCATGCTATGAATAGGTATCTTTAAACCTTGAACCATGATCCACAGGAAAAAAGACATCTGTACTATAACCAGTAGAGACCAACATATACATATATATAATGTTTCATAAACAAGATTTTCCTTCTAGTCTCAAATTTTCCATTCCAGTCTTCTTAATGCAATGAAACCCACTAACTTATTTCATGCAAAGTGTGACCTGAAGTTTGAACAATCCTGTCACTTCACCTCCTGTAGCTGCCATTTCCTCATCTATAGAATGGAAATAAACGCTCATGGATTCGGTGCAAAGAGAGCAGAAGGGTATGGGCCCTCGCACATTCTGAGTTCTCGGCAAATGTTCCATTTCTCTCTCTTCCTTTGGCAGGTATTTACCTTGATCCTCTTTCTGTCTGTCTCTGATTCACCCTCTCCCTTGTTTCATTTTGTAACCGTTGTCTCCTCTGATCTAGGTCACAATCTCCCCCAGTCACACCTACCCCCAAAGTTGGCCAAGCGGCTGATACGGGATGCTGGCACCTTGCGTTCTCGAGAGCGTCCACTCAGCTGGGAAATGGGAGAAAGTTTGAGGGTGGGAAGGTGGGCACAGGACACAGGGAGTACACCAAACTACTGCCACACTCTTCCCGGAGCTCAGAGTTCATGGGGTGTTGCTAGGTGGGTGGGTAATGATACCTGGGGTCGGGGTGACTTCCTGAGCCGGGCCTCCCGTGCCCTGCGAATGTCCTCCTCACCCAAGCCTCTGCCAGGGCCATCCTGATGAAACTTTTGGGCCTGAGAACGCCCACATGGCCCCTGCAAGAGAGGTGGACTTTGGTAAGGGTGGAGGATATGGGCTTTGCTGGTGCTTTTGGACTCCCTCCCTGCCCTTTTAACCCTGAAGCCTCCCTCAGCCTCTTCCCCTGGGAGACCCCTACCCAGGCTCTTACCCACCAGAGGGGCCCAGGCCCCAGGGCCCCACACAGCAGAACAGTCCGACCAAGGTGTCCACAGGCGCCCCGCAATAGGCCCCCCACCTCCAGCCACATAGCCTAGTAGGGGGAGAGGAGTGATTATTCCCGTAGTTGTGGGACTGTCGTTCCTGCTTTTACCTCGGCTTTGCCAGGCCCTCACATTCCTGCAGTGTCCACTCTAAGACTCTCACCCACCAAAGACTTCCTCCCCCGGTTAATAGCTTCCCCTGTTTCTCCGGGTTCCCTTTCTTGTTGCTAGGAAGCCATAGCTCTTCCCGCGCGCCTCCCAAAACCCACTTTCTCCCTGTCCCACTTCCCATCGTTGCTAGGGTCCTCCCCCGTTGCTAGGGTCCTCCCCCGTTGCCAGACACCCACAGATCCTCCAGGACTACCTCTCCACTTCTGAGTCCCCCTCGTTGCTAGGCACCTCCTTCCCTCTGTTGCTTGGTACCCACATTTCCTCCTGTGTCCCCCCATCTCTGAGCCCCTCCCCCCGTTGCTAAGTACCCACAGCTCCTGGGCTCCGGGTCCGCTACGCGTGGGGGCCTCAAGCGCTTCCGGCAGTTAACGTATGCCCGCCCCCTCCGGTCAGACAGCCAATGGCGAATCAGTGGCTCGCTGACCGACGTGCAGCACGTCCCGCTGTGCGTGAGGAGGCGGGCCCGGGGGCGGGGCCTAGGGGTGGGCGTTGGGGCTTGCGAGCGTGCTGGGCCCCGCGGGAACGCACACGTGCCGGTTTATGCCCTTCCGGTCACCTCAAGTGCCTCGTACTCCGCGGACCTCTCTGCTCCCTGCGCGGTTTTTTTTTTTTTTTTTTTTTGGCAACATCCTTCTCCTTTACAAACTCCATATTTCTCCTCTGCGGGAACATCTTGCCAGCTTCCCTTCTCCTTATTTTTACTCGAGCAGGTTCAACATCTCTGTTTTGAATACACATCTTACCGCAAACATTTCCCTTGCACACGAAGCCCCTCCACTTTGCACACCCATTCTCTGCTTAAAAGAATCCTAGCACCAGCCTCCTTCCTTGCACGTATAAGCCATGCCTTGCTTACCAACTGTCTCATGCTCTCCCCCTCACTTTCAGCCCCTTGTGCTCTGGGCCCCTGTTCCCTCAAGCACCCTGCTTTCTCTCCGCTCCGCCCACCTGCGGGATGGTGTGAGTGGGAGCCCTCTGTTTCCTGTAGGCCTGACATTTCCCAGAACTCACTCAGCCAAGATTCCCAGTGCTGAGTCAGGAGACTTGGCATCCCAGAAAACCAGCTTCCAAGCCCATCTGGGTGTGTGTGGTGGGGGAAGGGGGGCAATTTTAAAGCCTGCTCCTCCCCACAACAGGCTGACTCACCCCTCTTCTCACTGTCTGGAATAGAAGCAGCTGGCTGGGGCATCTCCTCCACCTCTGGGAAAGGAGGCATGAGATGCTTCCCCCACACAGCCCCCCTGCCCCTGGCGCAACTCGTCCACCTCCTTTGTCAGGAATCAGACCTCCCAGAACCTGTCCCTGTGTTATGTGATCTCAGAAGAGCCTTGACCCTCTCAGGATCTTGGCTTCTCTGCCTGTATGGTTTGCTAGGGCATCCCTGGTCTGTGAAAAAATGACTCATTTCAGAGCCCTGGGCTTTGGCCCAATGCCCTCTCTTAAGTGATTCAGTTTCAAGACAGAAACTACCCCTGTCCCCCTCCAGACATAGGATCTGACTCAGGAGCTGGGTGACAGCTTACCCTTAGGGGCAAAGTATATAAAAAGTTCCTACGACAATATCGCTACAGAGCTGTGTTGAGGTTGCCCAGTCACATGTGTCACATACGTGAGGTCATATCAAATAGCCTGTTGGCTGCAAGCAAATACTAGAGGCTGGCAGATGTCTGTGTCTCAGTTTTTCCATTTGTAAAATGGTTCAGTGATACGGAAGGGGGAGACATGAAGAGGAGCAGTGGAATATTTGTAAAGAGTTTCACACACAGTCTGATGCAGAAAAAGTACTCTGCCAGAAGAAATTTCTCCCATGCAAAGTTATTTCCTTCAAATTTTCAAGCATTTACCATGTTTTATTTAAATTTTTTTTCTTTACATTACAAGCAAGTTCCAGATGAACTCATCAGCACAATGGTGACAGCCAAATCTTAACCCTTTTTGATTCCACAATTGGAAGTCTTCACCTTTTTCAAAACATTTTACTCCCCCCAGCATCCTTTGTGTCCCCTTCCCTCACCCTCCCTCTTCATCTCAGAGCCTTGAAGTCCGGTAGTTTTTGCAAATGTTCTATATTGTCAAATAGTATGTTGTATGGACGTCAAGTATTTGTTCTTATCATTCTGACTTGCTTTGCTGCACAGAGGTCTTTCAAATTCTTTTAATTTTATTGAATATTAATTCAATCCTTTTTTGTGGCTATGTAATATCCCATGTTTTGCACACACCGTATCTTTTTGATCCATTCATCCATTGAAGGAAATTTAGGCTGCTTCCATGTCCTAGCTATTGTAAACAATACTGCTCTGAATATTGTAAAACATGCAATGGGGGGTTTGTTGATGGTTTTATATCCTGTGTGTTTTTTTTAAAGATTTATTTATTTTTGCATACAAGAACTGGGGTTCAAGCCAGAGGTGTGGAGAGTGAGAGGATTCACCAGAGACAGAGTGGGGAGCAGAAGAGGCAGACTGACTGAAATACACTGCTGAGGGGAGCAGAGGGAGAGACAGGAAAGGCCTGCTGCGCCATGTGGGTAGCTCCCTGGCCGGCCGATTGAATTCATGCTGCAGAGGCTGCAGATAGCTTCACAGTGCTGTGCTTAACCCCTTGTGCCACCAGGGAGGCCCCTTTTAAGTTTTTAAGGTATATTTGGGTTGCTTTCCTTAACGATTTCACCAGTTTACCGTGTGCTTTTCTAAGCACTGGGGACACAGCTAGGAACAACACAGGTAAAAACTTTGCTTTCTTGATTGGCTTCTGGTGAGGGCTATAATAAATATTTAACGAGGTGACATGTATTAAAGAGAAAAACCAGGGAAGGGGGACAGGGAAAGCAAAGAAGATTGTGAGTTTAAATCGGGTAGTCAGGGAAGGCCTCACCCAGTGGGTGACATTTGAGCCAAGAGCTGAAGGAGGTGAGGGACGGAGCTCTTAGAATACCAAGTAAAGAGCGTTCCAGGCAGAGAGAACAACCAGTACAAAGGCCAGTGACCAGCAGGCCTCTGAGTCTCAGTGTCTCCATCTGTGAAGACAGATGTTATTTCTCAGAGAAATAAGCAAAGAAGCCAACGGGCAGAGAGTGAGGGGAAAAGTGGGAGGACATAACATCTGGGAGGTTGGCAGAGCCAGATCACATAGGGTATGGTGAGTCACAGTGAAGACAGGCTTTGTGTTGAATGGGATGAGAACCATGGATGGCTCTGAGCAGAGAAGAACGTGAGCTGACTTAGTGAAAATACTCTTATTTCTGGCTTTTCATTCAACACTCCCAGCCTCACAAGCAAGTTATCACCCAGTAGAGGGCAAACATTCAGACTTTGGATTGGATAGGCCTGAGAAACTTAAATATGTGCTCTTGGACTGGCTGCTTTGCCTTTTGTGCCTCCACTCTCTTGACTGCCCAATGGGGCTGATGATTATCCTAGCTCACAAGATTTAGGTTATGAAGGAGTCAATATAACATTGACCCCTGTGCAAAGCAAGTGCACACATGCCAATGCTGTGGTAAATAAATAAAAGTCCCCATAGCAACCCTTTTTACAGATGAGGAAACTCAAGCTTAGTGATGACAAGTTGGCTGGTGGGAGAGATCATCCCAGAAGTGCACTGTAGCAGAATTGGAAACCAAAGGGTAAGGTCCTGGGTTTGTCCCACATCTGACCTCACATTGGCCTTTCAACAAATCCTGGGTCTTAATTTCTCTATAAAACTGCTTGGGTCTGGTGGCACTGGACACGCATTTTTCTGAAACAATAAAATCGTATTATGTACACTCACTTTATAGATGAGAAAACTGAGCCTGGAGCTGGTGTAGGAGGACGGGAACTTAAGTTACTCGCTCAAGGTAACCCATAGGAGGTGACAGAGACGGGTCTCGAACCCATGAACCCAAGTCTGCGCTCTTTCCAAGTCTTTAAAAGTGCGCTCCGATCCCGCCAGAGTAGTGGGCGCGCTGCTCGTCTCATCACCAGGGATTTCAGGGAGGCTGAAGTGGTCACTGGGGGGCGTAAGGAGGCTGTGTTGGTAGCGAGGGTCTAAGGAGCGGAACCCACTGGATGGCGACAAGGTCCCCAGCGTCCCAAACCCAGTGCCCGCGCGCTCCAGGCGCTGGGCGTCCACCCCCTCCCCAGTAGGTGGGCGGGCCGGTCTAGGTCCGCCTTCTTACGTCACGTCCGGCGGGGCGGGGCTTCGGGGCTTTCCCGGGAGGAGGGAGTATCGGTTAACCCCTGCGTGGCCAGGCGGGCCGGCGCTCCGCGGCCGGAACTCCCGGGGCTCCCCAGCCACACCCCTCGCAGGATTTAAAGGGGCAGGAGGGGCTGGGTCGGCCGAAGCCCTAACCTCGGGAGCGGGCATGAGGCGCTGCCCGTGCCGGGGGAGCTTGAGCGAGGCGGAGGACGGGGAGCTGCCCGAGGCGGCCCTCATGGGACTGGAGGCACCGCGAGGGGGGCGGCGGCGGCAACCTGGGCAACAGCGACCTGGGCCCGGCGCCGGGGGCCCGGCGGGGCCGGCCGAGGGGGGCGGGCCCGGCGCCGGGACCGAGGAGCCCAGCCTCCCCTCCGAGCCGGAGGGGACCGGCCCCGGGCCTGAGCCGCGGACAGACGGACAGGCTGAGCCTGAAGCAGCTGGCCTCGGGACAGAGGCGGAGCGGCCCAGCGGGGAGACGGAGCCAGGCAGGTCCAGCCTCCCGGCACGTCCAGAGGAGAGCGGCCGCTGCCCCGAGCTGGAGGCAGCCGGGCCCTGCACGGAGGCTGAGACAGATGGCTTTGGGACTGATCCCCACAGGTCCGACCTCCAGGCTCAGTCAGAGACGGACAGTCTCCGGATACAGCCCGGGCTGGACGGGCCCTGTACAGGACTAGAAATACGTGGGTCACAGACCCAGCCAGAGGCGGGCGAGCCCTGGGCTGATAACCTCTGGACCCACCAGAACAGGTCCAGCCTGCGGACCCAGCCCGAGGAGTCCTGTCCCTCAACAGAGCCAAGCGCCGATGGCTCCTGGGAAGAACTGTGCACTGATGGCTCCAGGACACAACAGGATTTGGAAACTGCCTGGAAACAGCCTGATGCTGATGGTTTCACTACACAAGATTCTGATGGCTCCTGGACACAGCCTGATGCTGATGGTTTCCCAACACAAGAAGATTCTGATGATTCTTGGACACAGCCTGGCGATGATGGTTCCCAGACACCAGATATTCATGGACCCCAGACGGAGCTTGGGACAGACTGCGTTTTGGGGGAGCCTAACCAAGATGGCCCATTAGTGGAACCAGAACCTGGGGAGGCGGTGACTCACCTGTACTCTCATCTGCAGAGTAGCTCCCTGACCCCTGTGCCCCGTCTCATCATCACTCCTGAAACCCCTGAGCCTGAGGCTCAGCCAGTGGTACCCCATTCCAGGGTTGATGGGGGCAGTGGCGGCTTCTCCTCTGCCTCCTCTTTCGACGAGTCTGAGGATGACGTGGTGGCCGGGGGCGGAGGTGCCAGCGACCCCGAGGACAGGTCTGGGGTGAGTGGGACCCATCCTGCTTTTGAGCCATATCCCCCCAGATGCCGAATCCCTCTGCCTTTACTTTGAGAAGTTATCTAGCACCCCCAGCAATTTCATCTCCAGCCACTTCTTCTATTCACCAACCTTCTCCCTCTGGCAGGTGGGTTATTAACCCACCCTAAGTACACTTCTCCTAATTCTCCTCTCCTCCTGATCCACTGCCTCCAGTCCTGAGGTATAAACTAGCCAGTACTTGATGTCTGGGTGGTGCCCAGGAACCCTTGAAATTGTGTGATCGTGTGAGTCTGTGTGTGTACACACACATTTTTTGCAGCGAGAGTCTATGTCTTCTGTCAGATCCTCGGGAAAGTCTGTGACCCCAAAATCCAAAGCACACTGGTATAGTAGGGCAGAAATGTGCACTTTCTATACCAGATTTCTTAGTCTGGGGCCTGTGACTGCCTTCAGGGGTCATGAACCTCCACCACCACATTCACTTTATAGGGAGTGAGTCCACCAGTTTTATTAGATTTCCAAAAAGTTTCGTGAACCCAAAACACCAAGAGACCACCCCCACCCCCACCCCTGCCTCCAGCCTAGCTAGAGACTCTCCTGTCTCTCTGTTGTTCCCCAGCTCATGGCAGGTGCGAGGGGGGGGGCGGGGGGGGCAAGGAGGGGAGGGTGGCCTGCATACTTTTGTTTATAGCTTCCACCCTCACCCTCAGCTTGGGTGCGGTTCTCCCCTGGTGAATCAGGAGGCCGGCTGGGCAGGTTCAGGGAGGGAAGATCATCTTGGAGGCAGGTGTGAAACAGGGGAACCTCACATGGGTGGGTCTGTTTGCTGGGTCTCCCATTGTCCTAGGGCCCCTGGCTGGGAGTCTGCCTTGAACACCCCCCCACCTCCACCTGCCTCCCTTAGGAACATGTTCATACATGTGGCCACAGATGTGATACAGACCAGCCTCAACTTGCCTGTGCCTGAGTCAAGGAGCTGACCCCTGGCACTTTCTATTGCTGCTGATTCCTCTGCTGTCTTCTTACCTCCTGGGCATCACAGAACAGCTGAGCTGCCAAGTGGATGGAAATAATAAAAATAATAATAGCAATAGTAGTAATAATGGCAGCTAGTACACACTCATGACCAGTGTGTGCTAAGCTCCTTGCTGATATGAACTCATTTCATCTTCACAACAGTCCTATGCAGTAGATACTAGTAGTGTTCCCATTTCTCTGTGAGAACACGGAGGCACAGAAGGGTCAAGACACTAGTCCAAGGTTACACACCTTGGAAGACACTGAGCCGAGATTCACACCCTTGCTGAATACCAAACACTTTTCTATGAACTTTCTCTGTGGCTTTGGCTGCCTTTGGGGGTCATGAACCTTGAGCACCCTTTCATCCCATTCATTTTTGTGGAGAATGAACCCAGAAAGGATTCTTGAAATCTTTATAACAGCACTGGGAGATTGGGATTGTTATTATCTCCGTTTGACAGATGAGGACACTGAGGCATAAAGGGGTGAGGTCACTTGCTTAGGGCTGTCCAGGTCTGGGGAGCATCAGGATTCGAACTCAGTTCCAACTGAGTTCAAAACCCAGTCAATTTAACCTCTGGGGTGTGCATCCAACTCTAGCTTGCTTTCCTCCCAGGACTCCCTGTCTATGTTTTTCTCTTCTCCTTCCAGAACTGCCCCCATGACCCAGCTCTGACCAGACACTTTTCCTGCTCCAGTGCCTTCCATAGCTCCCCAGGGTCTGCCTGATAGTGATCAGGAGGCCATTCCTAGGTTCAGAGCTTCCTGTCTTCAGGCACCCTCCCATGTTCAGCCTCCCATCTCCCCTGCTGACCTGCTCTGTGCAGAGAAGCCTGTACACACTGTTCTCCAACACCCAGCCGCCTCCACTGTGGAGGGTGCCGCCTCCACTGTGCTGCTACCACAGCTGCCTCCACACATAGCTTTTGCCACTGCCCAGGGTGCCCTGGCTTCCTTCTCGCTTTGCCTTCCATCTGACTTCAGCTGGGGCTTGTAAGATACTTGGCTCCTTTCTTCCTGCCCTCTCTGCTCTCCCTCTCATCTCCATCCTGTCTTCCTGATCAGACAGCAGACAGTCCCTGGACCTCAAGTCCCTGTGTCCAACCCAAGTTGACTTTGATGGGGGCATGGCAGGGAACAAGGTGCTGACCTCATGAGCTCCCAGGCCAGTGGAGGGGATAGGCCCATCCCCAGGCAGAGACAACTCAGAGGCCCTCAGGGTTGATGGAAGGAAGCCCAGATGATTGTGGGAATCCGAGGAAGTGACTGGCCAGGCTGGGGGATTCAGAGAGGGCTTCCTGCGGGAGGCGTCATGGGTGCGTTGAGACCACCATGAAGCCATTTGAAAAGCCCAGATTAAAGATCTAAGAAGCCCAGATCTAAGAAAAAAGAGAGAAGATACAAAATCTGCTTATGATTTAAAAAAGATCAATTTCAACTAGCCTCTTCAGAGCTAAGCAACATTTTTTTGAGCATCTATTTAATAGTCAGACCAGGTGCAAGGGACATGGTCATAATCATGACACCCACAGTCCCTGCCCTCATTTGTTTGTATCCAGCAAGGCTGTAGCAGATAAGCCCAGGGCAGTGGGGTCAGACCAGAGATGGAACCCCAGCAATGTGCTGTGTGATTTAGGCAAGTGGCTTCACCCCTCTGAGCCTGTTTTCCTCCTCGTGACACAGTCAATAATTCTCCTGGGGCTATGTTTTTAGAATTAAGTAGTTTATGGCACACTGAGTCTTTGTTATTGTGCCTGGAATGTTCCAGGTGCTTAGTAAACAGGAACCTTTATTAATCACCTCCACCCCATGCTGACAGCTGGATCAGGGAGGGAATAGGCCTTTTTGAATCTGGTCGTCCCCCACCCTGACTCTGCTTGACCTTCTCACTGTCTGTTAGATGTTTGCCAGATAGCTAGGGTAGGAGAGAACGTGACCTTGATCCTGGGGCTAGGGATAGGCAGCGGGCCTGAGACACACAGCTTCCTTCTTGGGAGATGACCTGTACTTGCTCAGAGCCTGTGTATACTTGGAGCAGAGAATGTATTCATGTATTCAAGTGTATGTGCATGTGTGGGGGCACGTAAATTGGACACTAACCAGGTCTCAAGAAGCACTTGGTTGAGTCAACATGATACAATGAAATCCTTGTTTTCTCTTTGCTTCTGTTTTTCTGTTGGGTTCTGTCCCCCATCCCCCGATTTCCTACCTACCCACTCCGGTCTTTCTGGACTATTTTTTCCTTTCTCTGCCTTTAGTTTATATCTGTGTCTCCCTGTGGGTCTTTCTCCTTTAGTAACTCTGTGTCTGTCTTTATTAGTCAGTATAGGTCAGGATTTGCTGTAGTAACACAACCCCCATACTTGGAGACTTGGAACAACAAAGACTTGTTCTGTTCATTCTTCATGTTGACCTTGTGTCAGTGTTGGATGAAGGTCTCTACTCCATGCTGTCCAAACTCAAGGCCTAGACTGAGGAAGCTTCCATTTCTCTTTTCACTTAATTTCACTTAATATGTTTTCTACTTAATTATAATTCTTTTTTAAAAAAAGATTTATTTATTTATGCATGCAAGAGCTGGCGTACAGGCCAGAGATGCGGGGGGTGACAGGATTCACCAGAGACAGAGTGGGGAACAGAACAGACAGACTGACTGAAATACACTGCTGAGGGGAGCAGCAGGCGAGACAGGAGAGGTCTGCTGCGCCATCTGGGTTGCTCCCTGGCAGGCTTGGAATCGAACTCATGCTGCAGAGGCTGTGGATTGCTGAGTAGTGCGGTGCTTAACCCCTTGTGCCACCAGGGAGGCCCACTTAATTATAATTCTTAATACAAACAAACACACACACACACACCCTCCCACATGGGGAGTCAGGCTCAGGTTTTAAGGGTTTCACCCAAAAGGGATCCTTCTCTCATATTTCATTGGCAGAGCAAGTCAGTAACCCAAGTTCAAGAGGTTGGGACGTTCCTGGAAGGGGGAAGCATTGGGACTGTTAGGTGAGCAGCTCTCATGACTGCGGGGTTCTCTGTCATTGCCTTGGTCTCTGTTTGTGTCAGTGCTTTGTCTTCTGTCTTTGTTTCTGTCCGGTTCAGCTCCACCCATCAACTCCTGCCTCTGCCATTTTCTCTGGGAGGTCTGGCTTGGTTTAGGGACAGAGATGAGGCTTTCAAGCTCTTGGGGTGTGTGTGTAGGTTAGGGATTGAAGGGAGATTTGGGGTTACTTGTTACTACCACCAAACCTGACCTAGTCTTACTCATTTGAGAAGGACAGAGAGATACAGGCAAGAAAGTGATGAAGGAGACGAAGAGAAATGGACAAGAGACTCTTCCCACCTTAGCTGAGGCCTTTGTGGGGATCTTGTAATTGCTGAAGTACTTGGACTTTGCTCATTCCAACAAGAGGTCAATCACCCCAGGAAACTCCCTGGTCCTGGAGAGCCCCACATCCTCCTTGGTTCCCTCTCATGGCAGTACCCTCATTCCCCTCCCTCCTGCCCTCAATCCTGACCGCATCCTGCTTTGTCCTCACAGAACAAATCATGGAAGAAACTGAAGACAGTTCTGAAGTACTCACCCTTTGTGGTCTCCTTCCGCAAACACTACCCTTGGGTCCAGCTCTCTGGACATGCCGGTAAGAGCAAGGGACTTGTAGGGCTGGGCGGGGCTGCTCTGTGTAGTTTAGTTTCCCCATCTGTAAAATGGACTCCAGGATAGGCTTCACCTCATGGGGCTTTCTGGGAAGTGTTTATGCCTCTGCTGGGCAATTCATACATCAGGGCTATTCCTTATGATCCTGATGTTTGGGGAGAAAGCCACTCCTGGGGATAGGTGATCCTGGGCTCCAGGGCTAGCTCTACCCTTTATGAGTAGGTGACCCTGGGAAAGTCACTTTCCCTCCCTGGGCCTCCACTTTCTCATCTGTGTTTGGAAATCATTATTCCTGTCCTCTTCCCCTGTCCAGAGCCAGAGCGTAGTAGGTCCTCAATAAGCAACAGCTAGGATGTTTTTCCCCCAGGACTTAGCAGAGTGTCTCTCGCACATGACAGTGTAGTGCCTATTATGTAACATTTTTTGTGTGTGTGAAGGGCTAGATGATAACTCTCTTAGGATTTGTGGGCCTAGCGTCTCTGTTGCAACTTTGCTGTTGCCACAAGAAGGCAGCCATAAACATAAGAACATGTCTGTCTTTCATAAAACTTTATTTACAAAAACAGGCAGTGGGGAGGTTAGAAAAACTGCCTGCAGCAAGACGGGAACTTATCTGCCAGTTTATCCTTAGATCTGAGTCAGGGAAAAGACAAGGCCCCCCTAAAACTGTAAACAAAGGTCTGCCATCTCTATGTGTTCTAGTTAATATTGCTCAGTGTTAAAAAAAAAAAAAATCAAACACCAGAAAACTAAAAATTTAGTGATTTCAGAAAAAACAAACAAATAGTGGAGTAAAACAACCCTTTGATTATACTCATACTCATGGGTTTTGAGTCAGAATTCACATAGGTCCTGGCAGGGATGACCTGTTGCTGCTTCATATCTGGAAACTCAGCGATGACAGCTCAAGGTCTGGGAGCTTTCAGAGAAAGTTTTGGAGAATCATTGACTCACATGGTGATTGATGCTGCTCATTGACTGGGGCTCAGCTGGGACTGCTGCCTGGAAAGCCCAGCCAGGTTTTCCCCACTGTCTGAAAAGGCAGCATTCCTATAAAACCTTTCAAAATGCTGTAAAGCAAAGAAGCAATTATCATTGACTTTTTTTTGGTGGGGGAGTGAGGCCAGAGGTGCAGGGGCTGAGAGGATTCACTAGAGACAGAGTGGGGAGCAGAATAGCCAGATCTGAAATACATTGCTGAGGGGAGCAGCGGGTGAGACAGGAGAGGTCTGCTGTGCCATGTGGGTCATCTCCCTGATGGGGGATCTAACTCAGGCTGTAGTGGTTATAGCACTGAGACTTCACCCCTAGGCCGCCAGGTAGGCCCTTGTCATTAAGTTGGGCAAATTCTTGAGTGTTCCCACACACAAAAACTAACTTACTAACCTATTAAATCATACCGAAAACCACATAAAATTTAAAATTACACATAGTAAAAGCAAGAATGTTATGATAAATACACAGCAGTGTGGGGAAGGAGTTTAGTGGGGTCCCTCTTGCTGCTGAGGGTTTGCGCTGCCTTTATAATGGCTGCTGCAAAACAAATGCAGAATACATTTTTGCCTTTGATTGTAAACAGATACTAATGTAGGTCTTATGAAAAGCGCGAAGTGGTCTATTATGAACTTTTTGAAAAGTGTGGGATACTGCTGTATGTTTTCCCTGTAACTGCTTGGGCTTCCTCATAGTATGGTGGCTTCACAGTAGTTAGATTTCTTATGTGACAACTCAGGACCGTAAATGCAAGGGTCTCTGTCAACAAAGTGGAAAGTGCATCTCCTTTTATGACTCAAACTGAAGTCACAGAGTGTCACTTAGGCCATAAGCTTTTTCCAGATTCATGGGAGAAAAATGAATTCAAGATTTCACTTCTTGATGGGGATTGGCGAAATTCTTGAAGAACATGTGGAATGTGAGCTATTGGTGCAGCCATCTTTGGACACTATAATCTGAAAATACAATTTGCCTCAATAAGAATTTGTGATTTTAATGTATACTAACTACATGGTCCAGGAAATGCCAGATCTGTAAATTAACTTAAGTACACTCCTGGGGTTATTATTAGCACTCTGGGACTCGAGGCAGAAGCAAATGCAAATCTGCTGTGGAGCATCTTGCTCTCCTCTCAGATCTCACAAAATTCCCACCACTGATTGTGAGCTCACAATCCAAAGTTTCAAAACAAATGAGGACCCAATCGACTGTGAATATAACTTTAAACAGAAGGCCCTTGCCCCAGTACCCCAGCCAAATTTCAAGAGTCGCAGGAAGGGAGTGAAAGCATCATGTGTAGAGGGTCAGGGAGATGATGGTGGCCGGCATCTGCTGCATACAGGGAGAGGGAGGATTCTCTCTCTGATATCTCTGCCCCTCTCATTGATTCTGCTGCCCATAGGGAACTTCCAGGCAGGAGAGGATGGTCGGATTCTAAAGCGCTTCTGTCAGTGTGAGCAACGCAGTCTGGAGCAGCTAATGAATGACATTCTGCGACCTTTTGTGCCAACCTACTATGGCGTGGTGCAGCGGGATGGCCAGGCCTTCAACCAGATGGAAGATCTCCTGGCAGACTTCGAGGGCCCCTCTATCATGGATTGCAAGATGGGCAGCAGGTAGGGTCAGGCAGCCATGGGGCAGGAGTAGAGACATGAGGGTGGGCATTCTGGATGATAGTGTCTAGTCAGTCTCCAATGTAGTCATGCCAGCGGGTTTTCCCACTGGGGTGTGTGGATTCCCTGTGTTCTGTATTCTCATCAGCACTTGCTCTTGCCTGTTACTATTTTTACTATAGTGCATGTCTCATCATGATTTTAATTTATGTTCCTCTGATGACCAAAGAAATTGAGCATGTTCTATGTGGCTTGGCCATATGGAAATCATCTTTCAAAAAGTGTAGAAATTTTGCCCACTTTTCTATTGGGTTGTTTTTTTTTTTAAGATTTATGCATGCAAGAGCTGGGGTGCAGGCCAGAGATGCGGGGGGCAGGGGTGTGTGTGTGAGGGAGGATTCACCAGAGACAGAATGGGGAATAGAACAGGTAGATCTATTGAAATACACTGCTGAGGGGAGCAGCAGGTGAGACAGGAGAGATCTACTGTGCTATGTGGGTCACCTCCCTGGCTGGGGATCGAACTTGTGCTGCAGTGGCTGCAGATAGCTTCATAGTGCTACATCTTAACCCCTTGTGCCACCAGGGAGGGCCCTGTCTTTTTCTTTTTGACTGGTATTTCTTTACATATTCTAGGTACAACTCCTTTGTTGGAGATACACACATTAACACACACACACACACACACACAGGCCCCACAACTCCCATTTCATGGTCTTAATAATGTCCTTTGATAAACAGAAGTACTTTGAACTTTGTCCAGTTGGACTTTTTTTTTTCACCACAGTGAGTTGTTTTGTGTTTAAGAAATCTTTGCCTATTTTGAGGTCATGAAGATCTTTCCATGAGCTACATTGTTTTAATTTTCATATTTACAGCTGTGATCCACCTGTAATTATTTTTTTATCTGTGGTGTGAACTAGGGATCAAAGTTCATTTTTTTCCAGAAGGATATTCCTATTGACCTGGCCCCATGTGTTGAAAAGACTTCCCTTTCCCTCACTGAACCACGGGCCTTCTTTGTCCCATGTTGAGTCAATGTACATACGAGTGTCTGTCTGTGGACTCTGTTCTGGGCTCTCAGTCACTTTGCTTATTCTTTGCCACACTGTGGCTTTATGTCTGCCTTAATATCAGGGAGGATAAGTCAGTTTTATCCTTCATAATTTCCTTTGTTGTGCTCTCTGGGTCCCAGGACCTACCTGGAAGAGGAGCTGGTGAAGGCACGAGAACGGCCCCGGCCCCGGAAAGACATGTATGAGAAGATGGTAGCTGTGGACCCGGGGGCCCCCACCCCCGAGGAGCATGCCCAGGGTGCGGTCACCAAGCCCCGCTACATGCAGTGGAGAGAGACCATGAGCTCGACTTCCACCCTGGGCTTCCGGATCGAAGGCATCAAGGTGAGGCCAGGGGCTGCTGGCCTGGCGCTGGCTCCAGAGCATTGGGAGCCGGTTCTGAGCAAGGGCTCCCAGGGAACGTGGGGTCTGGGAAAGCTAGAAAGAAGCAGGTGTGCTCAGAGACCTGAAGGCCACAGAGGACCACAGGACAGGGTCAGGGAAGGTCCCCTTCTCTCTCGCCCCCACATCCAGAGGAGACCAAGTTTTGTTTATCTGGTGGCCTGAGTGTCTCTCTAGTCCATCTCCTCCCCCGATCTAGGCCCCATCCTCTTCTGGTCCCATCTTCTGCGCCAGCCTCCCTGGGCTCAGTGTCCTGGGCTCACCCTTCTTGGGCACCCTCCAGCAGCTGCAGGGATCTTCTCCCCCTTATGGAAGAAAGATTTTCCATTTGCTTCTTTTTTCTTCTAAGTCAAAGCTGTTTGAATAGGTATTCACACAGTTCAGGAGCCAAATATGATCACAAAAGGGTGTAATAGGGGAAAAAATTCCCTCTCCCAACCCTGCTGTCCTTCCCATTTCGTCCCTTCACACCCACCTGTTCATGGGGAACCACTTTACTAGTTTCTTATTTCTTCCTCAAATACAGTCAAATGCAATTGCACATCTTAAGTTTTCCTTCCTCTCTTACACAAAGGTAGCATAGTATGCATAATCATTGATATTTTGCTTTTTCAATTAACAGGGTATTCATGTATTATTTCTTAGAGCCCCTCTCTCCCTCCGTCCCTATCCAGGTGTATAATATTTCTTTGTGGATATACCACGGTGCCCTACAGATGGCCACCCGGGTGTCCCATTTCTTGGCATTACAAACAAAATCATTTTGTACATAAGACATTTTATGAATAGGAAGGTTTAGCTGTAGACTAGATTCCCAGTAGCAGGACTGTCGGTCAAAGGTTAAATTAAATGCACTGGGAATTTTGCTAGAGATTGCCTCACTCCTGACATAGGGGTGTATGATTGTGTACCCCACCAGCAGCATCTGAGCGTGCCTGTGTCCTCAGCCTCATCTGAGTTACAAATCTGTCATTCTCCTGTTCAAAATCCTTCCATGGTTCCCTAGTACCCTCAAGAAAAGTCCCCTGGCCTAGAGGGCCCTCCAGGATCTAGCCTCTCCTCTCACCCTGCTCTCCTTGTCTACCTTCATCTCCTTGAAAGGGCCCCGCCCTTTTCTGCCACAGGGCCTCTGCACATGCTGTTCCCTCTGCTGGGACTGCTTTTCTCCTACTGGTCCCCCTCATTGACTCCCAGTCATTTTCCTGACTCTTCAAATTTTGCTTCTTCCAGAAAGCCCTCCTTGATTTCCATCCTATTATCGTGGGGTCCTCTCCCAAAAGCTCCTGATACCCTTCATTATTTGTATCTGTCTCCCTCCTCTGACTGTTCGTTACCTTCGTGCTCGTACTGCCCACATGGCACCAGGCACAGCATGGCAGATGACTCACGTGGCTTCTCTGTACTCCTCTCAGAAACAAAAAAAATAACGTAAGTCTCATTTATTGCATGCTTACTACATGCGAGGCACTGTGCCATGCATCCTCACTCCCAGGCCCCTCTAGTCCTTGTGCCAGCTTTAGGAAGGAGATACCATCACAATTCCCATTTTCCAGATGAGGAAACAGGCTCAGGCAGGTGAAGTGACCTGCTTAAGATTGCCCAGCCAGGAAGTAGCAGAGTCATGATTAAAAACCAGATCCATTCCCCTCCAAAGCCCACTTGGCTAGACTTGAAGGGTAGGAGTTCAAGGTCAGGCTTGGAAGAACCTATTTGTTACCCAGGAGGGTAACTTGGAGCTGGGTAGATGGGCTGGCTTCCTCTGAACAGCAAACAGGTGTGGAGGTAGGCAGGTGGCTCTGGGGGTGCCTAAGGCTCCTTGGCGTGGGGTGGGTGGGAAAAGACATGCCATAACCCCTGCCCCTTTAAACTGCAGAAAGCTGATGGAACCTGCAACACCAACTTTAAGAAGACACAGGAACTGGAGCAGGTGACAAAGGTGTTGGAGGACTTTGTGGACGGGAACCATGAGATCCTGGTGAGCAGGACACCCACGGCCCCAAATGTAGCAACTTCAGAGCACTGCTGACATTGCGCAGCGTGTGGGTGTGTGGTCCTCTGCGTTGGGCTGAGGTTGGCTGATAGGGGAGGCTGGCATTGCTCACATGTCTGGTCAGCTGGGGCTGGCTCATGGTCTTGCTCTGTGAGTTGGTCACATGTCTCCATGACCCAGCCGGCTCGCCTGGGCTTGTTCTCACCCTGGAAGCTGGGGGCCAAGAGAACAAGTGAAAAGGCAAAGCCCCTTGATGGCCACCCTTGAATGGTCACATTATTTTGCCATGGCGCGTTGGCCAAAGCAAATCGCAGAGCCTAACTGAGATTAAAGGGAAACAAACAGTCCATCTCTGGTGGGAATTGCTGCCAGGAATTACGGGTGTTCAAGTAATCTCCCGCAGACACCCTTGTCTGGCACACCCTGACCCTGCTGCATCCAGCTCCCCCTCCCCCCTGCTCTTTCCCCTGTGCCTCCCCTTATTCCCTCCTGCACACAGCTTTAGAGATCTGGGCAAGGGCAGAGGTCAGAGTGGGGAGGAACCACCAGGTCCCTGTGCTAACCAAGAACCTCCCTCCCACCTCAGAGAAAGTACGTGGCCCGGCTGGAAGGACTCCGTGACACCCTGGAGAATTCCCCCTTCTTCAAGACTCACGAGGTGCGAGCCCCACCTACCCTGAGAGCAAAGGGGTGTGTGTGTGTGTGTGTGTGTGTGCGTGTGCGTGTGTGTGTGCGTGTGTGTGCGTGCGCACGCACATACACACTGTCTCAATGGCACTAAGGAGAAAGCACTGACAGACTTACAGGCCAAAGCTGTAAAATACAGGCCCCACCTTTGTGGGTTTGCTTATTTAGGGTTTTAGGGAGGTGGGCTAGTTAGCATTTGAGCTGGGTGGCCTGGGCCCTGGGCTGGCTGCTCTGTGACCTTGTGACTTACCCTCTGGCACCTGGGTTTCTGCCTGTCAGAGAAGGGACAAAGTCCCTTCCTTCTAAGGCTGCTGAGGTGGGAGAGGTGCCCTTGGTGAGTGAGTGCACTTCAGAGCATGGAACTCTGGGCTCTTACAGTTGCTTTAGAATTATTTGCAATTCATCTTAGCTGCATGTCCTCACTGCCCCACCCGCAACCCCTTCCATAGCCTACTCTCCTTGGGAAGTTCCTCTCTCTAAGGCTGTCTCAGAAAGTCCCAGAAAGTCCTATGGCAGCCAGTGTCCTCTCCCTCCTCCCCCCAAGCTCTTCCCCCTCCACTTTTTCCTGACATCACCCACTTCTAAGGAGCACAGCTCTGGGTAGGAATCTGGGGCTGGTGGCAGCTCTGCAGGCCTCTCTCCTGTGGGATGGGGGGAGAGTGGCACCTGCTCCTGGGCATGGGAAAGGTGATGTGGATTCAGAGCGACAGTCCGGCCTATAGTCAACCCTTCGTGTGTGCAGCTGTCCCTGTCATCACACCCACTGCCTTGGGGCCTTCAAATCACAGAGGAGGCCTGGGGCCCGCAGTCCTCTGGCCTAGTGCTTGGTTTCACCTGCCTGGTGACTGGAGATTCTAAAAACCGAGTTGCCAACATTTCAACCATAAGACTCGATACCAGCATCGGGACTTCTAGTTTCCCTAGGCAAATGGGGGAGACATGGCAGCCCTGGGCAGCCTGCCATATGCCAACAGCTGTTCAGAGCAGGGCGGTGGCCACCTCTTCTGCCAGGCACCTGCTCACCTGCACCGTCATCTGGTTTCTCTGGAAGCAGTAGGGTTTGACGCCAGCTAGAAAAAGGGGCCCGCATTCCTGGAATTGGACTGGAGGAAGCTACTATCTCTAGTTCAAAAACAAAACGAAACACAACACAGCGTCTGCTGAAGGAGCACTGTGCCTTGGCAGTGCGTGCCAAAGACCCCGGGAGTTCAGGGCTGTTACCATCACCCCTATTCCACGGATGAGGAGACTGAGGCCCGGAGAAAGGAAGCCTCTTGCCTGGGGTCACAAGCAGGAATCCGCTGGGGCTCAGTAGCCACTGTTCTTTCCACGGAGAGGGATTATCTATTTCATTAGTCCTACTAGGCTCTCTCGACCTGTTCAGGATACCGCAGACATTAAGGCTTAAAAGAGGGAACAGTTGACATTTGGTTTCTATTTATGGTGCATTTGTTACGTTCCAGCAGCTGTTCTAAGTGCCTTATGTGGATTAATCCAAACATCCTATTGAAGTAAATGGTGCTATTACTCCATCATTCCTGCTTTGTGTAGAAGAAGTAGAGGCCCAGAGAGGTGAAGTCACCTGCCCAAGGCCACACAGCCAATAAGCAGCAGAGCCCTGGTTGGAATGCAGGCAGCCTGGATCCCTAGTTCTGCAGTCAAGCATCCTGCTCAGCTGCCCCCCAGGGAGGAGGTCTCGGCCAAGGCCTGCTTGACTCCCTAACCATGCTACTCTCCCCCTGCAGGTGGTAGGCAGCTCCCTCCTCTTTGTGCACGACCACACCGGCCTGGCCAAGGTCTGGATGATCGACTTTGGCAAGACCGTGGCCCTGCCTGGCCACCAGACGCTCAGCCACCGGCTGCCCTGGGCTGAGGGCAACCGCGAGGACGGCTACCTCTGGGGCCTGGACAACATGATCCGTCTGCTGCACGGGCTCGCCCATAGCTGACCCTCTTGCCCGGCGATAGCCTTATTTATTAGGTGGGGCCTTTCTGGCTGGGGAAGCCCCGAGTTTGCTGGGGCCTGAGGTTAGTGGGGGGAAGCTGACCTCTCAGGTGGGAGAAGTGTGACCAGTGTGGAAGATCTGAAGGGCCTTGGGGGCCAGGTAGCACCTGGCCCTTTCATGATACAGGGGTTGTAAGGACTGAAGAGGGGTCACCGGGTCATCTGGAAGGATTCTGCATGGCCCCCTGGAGGCCACAGCTTAACCTCATCCTGAAGTCACAATTCAGAGGCTGCCTGTCACTGTATGAATGACTTTAGTCACTGCCCCCAAGGCCAGTGACTGGGTCTGTCCACCTCTGCTGCCTAGGACTGCACAGCCTGCATGAACCAAGCTGGAGTGTCTTGTCCACCTAGGAGGGTTCTGCCCTATCTCTTCATCTGAGAGTCTCTGGAGTGCTAAGGACATGGGCCCTGAGAAAGGTGTGACACCTTGGAGTGGCCTGCTGGTGCTGCCCTGGGGCTGGGCAGGATACATCTCTCCTTTGTCCTGCCCTCCCCGAGGCCTGCACGGTCCCCCCTGCACCTGGGGAAACTCTGCTGACCTGCAGACCAAAACCACAGCCACAGCTGAGCATCCGAGGCAATGCTGTGATCTGACAACCTCGTCCCTCAGCCAGCAGCCTCGGAACTTCCTCCTTCCGCCTCCTACTCCTGGGACTTTTTGATCTCTTTCTTCCCAGCTAACTTTAGTGGCAGGAAGGGCTTTCCAAGGCCAGGAAGCTGGTGTCCTCATGGGGATCGGCTGCCTTCCTCAGCAGCACCCTCATCCCACCCGACCCGTGCTGTGAAAATCGACCAGCTTAGGTCAGAGGCACAGGGGGGCTGCTGGCTGTGAATCCGGGCTCGCCCAGGTACAAACCAAAGACCCTAAGCACCCTGAGGTGTGGGCGACACCCCCATCTTCATCTGTACCCATAACTGGCTTCCTGGCCCATCAGGGTGGGCTTGGAGACAGGCACCTCACTCTTCCCTAAGTTGAAGCTCTAATGCTGTCTTCCAGGCCCCAGGAGTCCTTTTCTACTGACCATCTTTATACTTATTTATGTGAGGTCTATGTTGGGGTCAGATAGGGGCATGCTGGGAACAGGAAGCAAGAGTGCCTGCCTTCCACCGTGACCACACCCCAATAAACAGAGCAAAGTCAACTTTATGGAGTTTTTGCTTTTGCATCTGGGGTGTGTAGGCTCAAAGCTCATCACCTGAGCACTAGTGCTGGGTGGGGTGACAGGATAATGACGGGTCTGGGGCAGAGATGCAGGCTTGTGGCAGCTGCCTCCCTCATCCTAGGCTACTGCTCTGGTCCCTGACTCTGTGCTGGACGGTGCAGAGGACATGAATGACCAACACCACTCCAAGTCCCTCCCTTAGCGCCTTCCAGGATTGTGCACCAGACATTGCCAGGGCTGGGCTAGGGGTCCAGGCGGGGGTGGGGGATGCCGGTGGAGCGTCAGGGCCAGAATGGGACTCAATCCGCTTCTCATTAGTACTACATTGTACAAGTCTGTTTAAATAAGTCCCTTTTTGAACAATGGGAACAAAGCCACAACCCAGACACAGCTGCTCCTCCCGTCAGTGGAGACAACAGTAGTCCATGACACTAATCATCTCTACACGCACCCCCCCCCACCATGTAGGTACTAAATGCCTATTTTGAATCCTGACCCTGTCACTTGCCCACCATGTGACCTTAGTCACTGCATGTCCCCAGCCTGTCTCTTCATCTGTCAAATGGGATCTGGTTCCTCCCTTAGAGATGCAAGATATGGCAGATGAGTTAATAAGTGGAAAGGCATGACACACACCTCTCAGGTGCATTCACTTTCTGTTTTGAGGGAGAGAATACAGGTGTGGGAGGCGCCCGGTGTGGGGTTGTGGGAATCTCCAGGAAGTTATAATGCCCCAAAAGAAAAGTTAGGACTCTCCTCAGCAGAGGGCTCCAGGGGGGACCTGGGAGGCCAGATGGCTGGCAGGCAGAAAGCAGGAGGAAGGCTATCCTGGGGGAGTAAGGAGTGGTGAAGTGGGGGAAGAGACCAAGAGTTCAGACCTGATTTTAGAGCAGCGACAGCTGCTGGAAGCTTCTCTGGTGGGTAGTGAGACCTAGGCTTGTCTTCTAAATTGTCTTTAATTTGCTTAAATTGGACAGACAATAGCTCCTATTGTAGAATGTGACTTCTCTCCATTTTTAAAGAACCCCATACAAAAAAAATTTTGACCCATAAGTTTCGGGTGTACAACTTTGTGGTTTGCCCGTGTGAACAGAAGTTGCGGGGGTGGGGGCGGGGCGGGCAGGCAGCAGGGTTGCACTGAGGGGGCTCTTGCAGATGTCCAGAGAACACAGTGGTTTCGAAGAGGGTGGTGGCCATGATGGACACGACTTGGGGTCTGAACTACTGGCAGTCTCCTTGCTAGAACCCCAGCCTGACACAGTGGTGCTTAATACAGGGACGTGGGCGGCACAGAGCTGATGCCCTGGTGGAGACGGGCTGGGCTGGGGTGGGGGGCCCTCTGTGAAGAGTCTCTGGTTGGAGGTCCTTTGCGATCCAGCCAAATCTGCAGGCTGCTGAAAAGCACTTTTCAAATGGTGAGAGTCAGGCTATGGCCTGGGCCTGTGGTGTGAGGAGCAGGACCTGGCCGCAGAGGCCAGCCCTCACCCCGCCGGCGGGCACCACATACTCCCGGCCATCAGCAGCCCTGGAAGGCGAGAAGTCTGTCAGCTGTAGGTTGCTATCCCGGACCTGGTCGTAGTCCCACAGCTGGTAGTGCCAGCTCATGCCCTGCTTGGAGAGGAGGTAGGTGGCTCCCAGGGACCCCTCCTCTGGCAGCAATGGTGGCTGGCGGGCTGTGCTGGGCACTGGGTGGAACAGGCCTGGGAGCTCAGGGTCCTCAGCATAGCCAAGGCTTGGCACATCTGGCACACCCAGCAGGACCCCTGGGAGTAGAGGGGGTGGCAGTGAGTGGAGGAGGGGCTGTACTCTGATAGGTGCTGGGGCTAACTACTCCCCCACAACCCTCAGGACAGGCACTGCCTCAACCCCCATTTTACAGAGACATGAGCGGGGGCCGGGGCTGCTGTTGGCTGGGCCGTGGCCCAGGGTGTCTGGCTGCAGCTTCAGGCCATTTTAAATCCTGCCCACCTGCAGCCCATCAGCTTGGGGACGTGGAGAGGAAGCTTTAAACAGAGCAGACACCCTTGCTTGGTGGTCTCCAGGAGACACCTGCCAAAAGAGGGGCCTGCCAGGCCACAGGGAGCAGAGCTGAACCTCCATCCAGGCCACCTGACACACCGGCAGCGGGACGTGACAACGCTGAGCACAGGTACACTTCCAGGGACCCAGGCATGCCAGTCCCTCCTCCTGAGTACTGCGTGTGTTGGCCAATGAGGTGGGTAGTTCTGTCACCCCAACTTTCAGACAGGAAAATGAAGGTCCAGAGTCACAGAACCTGGAAGTAGCCAGACTGGGCCTGGAGCCTGGGCTGTTTGGTCCTATTGTCTGTGCCCCGAGCTTGTTGGTGGAAACCCCGATGGGAAGATTCTAAAGCACCTGCTGCCTGCCAGGCCTGCTGAGTGCAGTGTGGGCGCGAGAGGGCCCAGCTGGTGTCCCTGCCTCCAGAGTGTAGGGCATAGTGACACTGAGGAGGGGAGACGGGGAGAGCCGGATAAGGGCTCAGGGGCGAGGGGGGCAGAACCCACCTGCACACACTGCCCAGTGGGCCTTGTGGCCCCTCCTCTGACACGGCTCATGGTTGAAGTCCTCGTCGTAGCTGGTGCTGAGGTTAAGGCCAAAGCCATGGTGTGGTCCTAGGACTCACCCTCCCCCACCCCTCCCCGCCCCCTCTTGGGTCTAGGATACGGGATGAGCAGGGGATGTCCGGCGACCAGGTGCCATAGGACACGGTCTCTGTTGGGACTGCCCAGGCCGCCGCAGAGCAGCTCGGCATGGCAGCCCAGCACCTCCTGGGCCAGCGTGCCCATGTTGGCTGCTGCAGGGACATGGCAGACACCGGAGAGGGATCACTGTTTGCATGGTGCCCCGAGCTCACAGGGGCGCTGCCTCTAACCCTCACTACAACCATCACCTCATGAGGCATAGAGAGGGAAAGCAGTTTGTCTAAGGCCACACAGCAGGGGTGGCAGAGTACCAGAATCCTCCTGGTAACACTGTTCTGCTGCATGGGGGGAAGGTGCTGGAGAAAAGCTGTGTCCCATGCAGTCTCTCTAGCCTCCTCCCAGCGACGAACACTCAACTCACCTGAGAACATCTCCCCATGGGCCGTGTAGCCTTGCTCCAACGCCACCTGCACGATTCTCTCCAGGGGGACGCCATTGGGGGGCAACAGGAGAGGGCCTGCCATGCACAGCGCCACAAGCCCGCATCTGAGGAAAGAGGGCCAGCCCCTTACTTCCTAATCATGTCTTTCCCAGAAGCACCCTGGCATGGGGAACAGGTGGGATGCCCTGGGGAGTTCCTCCCCCTCTCCCAGGCCTGGTGGGGAGACCTGCTTCCCCTTCATGGGAGGGAGGGTAGCCAAAGGCCAGAGTCTGGGTTGCAAGGCAGGGAATGGAGTGGGGGAGTGGGAAGAGAGGTCACCTGGGCTTCCAGGAGGAGGTGCCAACTTGGAGTTGGAGGCGCTGGCCTGGGTTCACACTTTCTCACTGGCACAGTCTTTTCAACTCTGTTGACTGCACCAGGACCCCAATCTAAGCTCCTCCCACGACCACACAGGTGAACCCACTCCTCCCATGCTGGTCCTCACAAACTCTGGCAAGGACAGAGGCTCAGAAAGCACAGCAGGCAGGGCTGGGCTCCTGGGTCAGGCACATACTGAGGGCCTTCTTGGATGAGGGAGGGCAGGTCGGCACAGAAGAGGATCCACCGCAAGTCACTCCTGAAACTGAATTGGAGCCACAGTGAGGTAACAAAGGAGGGTACGGGGCCTAGAGTCCCCCCTTCAAGGTCTGAGAGCAGGGTTTGAGGGATAATGAGAGGAACACTGGCTGGTCACTCTGAGGCCTGAGGTCTCTCCTGGCTCAGTGTCTGTCACTGACTTCTCCTTCTCCCTTGTTGAGGCACCTCCCCTCCCCAAGCCTCAGTTTCCTCATCTGCTGAGTGAATCATCCTTCTGTCTGCAGCTCCCTGACAGAAGGGGCAAAGCACAGATATGTAAAAGCTTTGCAACTCACAAGAGCCAGAGAGATTTATTTCTTAGAGGAAATTTCTCGAAGGGGTGTCTCTACTGGGATTCTCCCTCCTACCCCCCAAGCCTGTTTTTCTCAGGCTGTTAACCAGGAAGAAAATTCCTTAACTTAGCCTGCAGGAAAACCAGGTGAAGACAGGCTCAAGGCCCAAGAGATGATCTAGATAATGAGTCCCTGCAGGCCTGCCCAGCCCTACCCTTGGGAAGGCTGCTCAGAGTTCTGGTAACCCAAATCCCTACCCTCCCCAGGGCTCAGGAAGGGTAGGGCAATGGCAAGGTCAGAGGAAGGGCAATGTGGGGGGGAGATCCCTGGTGAAAGAGGGTGGAGCTCGCACCCCAGTGCCAGCCGATACACCTCTCTGAGCTTCAGTTTCCTCATCTGGATAATGGGATAATCTCAGTTCTTACCTCAAGGAGTGGCTAAGATTCAATAAATCAACACTCAAAATCACTCAGAACAGAGTGCCTGACGTAAGCTGGGCATGCAATGATGGGGGCTGTTATTTAGCTTATATTTGCCTTGATTCTGGTTGGGGCATTTAGAGCAGATTATATATTTGTCTAGAAAGCTGTAAGTTTCTTCTGAATCTGGACAAGTCGTTTCTACCTCTTGCCCTGTCAGGCAATTGTTAAGCACACAGCTTCAGCGCAGGTCTAACCCCACCCCCTCCCACCTGGGTCCCTGGCTTCCTCCTGTCTAATCACCTCCATTCCCTGCAGGTAGTCTCCCTGCAGCTAGTCTCCCTCTCTGCTTCTGCAGCTCCCCAGTGCCTTCAGGAGAAAGTTCTTTGCTTCCCATACCCTGTGTGATCTGGCTCCTGGCCACATGTCAAACCCCATTTTTGCCACTTCCCCAGTCCCATTAAAATATTTGCAGGTCCTTGAAAAGAACATGTCTTCATTTCACTTTGGCTTCACCCTTTCTTAAAAGAAGGGGGATCTGGCTCACTGGATTAGGTGCCAGTGAGCACAGGACCTTCATTGCTGAAGGTTCAAGGCCACAGAAAGGATCTATGTAGGGAATTTAAGCAGTAGGGCTATTTGACCATGAGGAAATGGGAGACCTCAAGAGGAAATGGTGGAAGTGATCTAGGGACAGGTGGTTAGGTGAGACCCTGGGCAGGACACCCTACCGGTCCTTCTGTAGCTTCAGGAGCCTCTTCACGTCCTCTTTGCAACTGGGGATTCGGCCAGCCTTCTCCAAGGCCTCCTTCAGGAGCCGACTCTTCTCCAGGCCAAAGACATGAGGGGGAGCAGCCCCTAGGACAGGGGCAGGAGGTGGCAGAGGGGGTGGTGGGGGAGTAGGGGCCTGGAGACTGGAGGGAGGGGTTGGAAAAGCTAAGTCTGGGAAATTTGGGTGTTCGGGAGGAGGAATCATGAGACCCTGGGGTGCAGGGGTTTCTGGAGTAGGTTCTAGGGGAGGAGAGGAACAAGGAGAAATCATTTTGGCATCTAGGGCATGGGCAGGAAGGTACCGAATAGAGTGGGAAGGATTCTCCAAAATGAGTTGGTCTGGGGGGATGGAGATCTTGAAAGTTTTAGAGCTGAGTTCCAAATTACGGGGGTAATCAGGACTGAAAGAACCTGGGCTAACACATAGACACAGGGGTCGGGATTGCAGTTGACTCAAGGAGGAATCCGAGTGTTAGCAAGACGGGGTTCTTCAATGCGGAACCAGATTTGTGCTATAAGATCGCATCACCAGGTTCAAGTATAAAGATTAGTAATTTATTATCCGGGGCCACATATGGAATTTTAGGGGCCAATTTGGGAAACGAAGCCTCAGATGGCTTCGTCTTTAGCCCAGGGCTAAACACTGGGTAAAATTCAGGCTTGGTCCAGCCCTCACATCCCAGGCCCGAAGTTCGCAACCTTTGAGCTGACCTTTGAGTCAGAGGTTAGGAGGTCAAAAGGACAACACGCAGGGAAAGTGGCCTAGTTGCGGAGAAAGTTCAGGAGTCTGAGCGCCACAGGAAAAGACTGAGCTGGGGAAGGCGCAGAGATCTCAGGCCGATGGGCGCCGCGACACCCCGGGACGCAGAAGTCAGCAAACCGCGCCTCCCATTCCGCAAAATGGCTGCGGCGGCACCCAACCTTTACCGTCACGTGATAGCAGGGCAACAAGGCCCGCCCCTCATCGATCACGTGATCTTACCGTCGTGGGGGGGCGGGTCTTCCAAAGGACCACCTCCGCAAGGGACGGCTGCGCGAGTCGCGTCCCGATTGGCAAGACGCGCGTGAGGGGCGAAGCCTTTCCTGATTGGTCCGTTGCCCCGGCGCCGCCGAAGGAGGGCGGGCTTGCAGGGGTGCACTAGAGCGTTTCTGCTTAGGCGGGAACCCAAGTGTTCTTTTGATTGGCAAGATCTGTGCTCAGGTCGAAACTTAACTCCAATTGGTCACACCACCCACTTTCCGCGCGGGGATTGGCTGCCAGAAAGGCAGAGGCGGAGCTAAGAGAGGGAGCTTTGTGGTTCGTAGCGAGCCAGCGCCACTACCTTGATCTGCCGGTGAGCAATGTAGGGTGGGGGGGAGCAATTGATTACCGGGGCTTTTCGTGCCTCGTGTGGGGGAAACGATCTCCCCTCTACTTGAAGTAGGGGTCCCCCTTAATCGTCTCTCCTTAAGTGGCTCTTACATCCGGGTTTTTTCCCCTGGGCCGGCCTTTAAGCGCATGGGCCAATGGGAATCGCCGCTTAGTGTTCCGCCCACCGGGTCGCGCAGAGCATCCTGGGAGTGGTAGTCAACATCTCGCGAGTTTCCGCACCACGCGGGGAGGTGAGGAGGTTCCCTGCGCTCGCCTTTTACTCCAAGGTGTGCTTTCCTCTTTCCTCTTTCCTCTCCCGCCTTTCCCCTGGAAGGAACGTCGGTGAACAACCCGTGAAGCCCGTGTTGGGACAAAAAAAGAGTTGGAAAAACCCGGGACCGAAGTTAGCATTTTCCTTCTTTCAGACCTACCTCAGCATCTTACTCCATGGCGGTTCCCGAAACCCGCCCCAACCACACGATTTATATCAACAACCTCAACGAGAAGATCAAGAAGGATGGTGAGTTCTCGGGCTGGGTCATATTCCACACTCTCCTGCACGAGCTGGCCCCCCTCTCCCCTCCGCACAAGCCGCCTCTTTTCCTCCGCCATCTCCAGGCGAACTGTTGGCGTTAACCCCTCGGCCTTTGCACGTGCAACTTCCTGTGCCACGAAGTCTCTCGGTCGCCCTTACTCTTTGTGCATTAAAGTGGTTATTTGCAAGATTACACGTCACCGGACCCCCTCCTCCAGGAAGCCCTCCCCTCCCTCCCCCCCCCTTCAAGTGCCCGCCTCTGACTTCCCGTAAACCCTGGACTTGCCCCCTCAAGCCCAGATTCTTCCGGGATACCGTGGCCCGGAAGTTATTCTGCACTGACCTTTGAACTTCCGTCAGGGTAAGAACGGAAACTGCCTTGGTCCCTGTCATGTTCTCATTGATCAATCCGTAATGAAAATGTTGCATTTCTAAACGAAAATGAAATGAGTAGTAGTGGCAGCCACCATCATAACACCAGGCGCCGGTATATAAATTTTGATGACATTTAATTTCTGTGGCTACCTGGGAAGAAGGACTTCCACCCAATTCGCAGATCGGAAACTGAGACCCTGGAGTCAGTGACTTGCCCAGGGTCACACAACATGGAGAAGTAGCTGAGGCCGCCAGGGCTGGAGTTCCGTATAAGATGTCCATTTTCTTCGGGAAGTCATCACTCTTATCAAACCTGATGTTCTGTATTTGAAAACTGGGCAGAGAAAAAGTATATATGTAGAAATAGAAAGCAAAATAACTAAAAAGAGGGAAAAAAGTGGGCAAGCTTAATATCTTTTTTTGCAGGCGTGTTAACAAGTTTAAATTAGTTGGACCTCCATGCAGTGCAATTTTTATTGTACCCGACGGAGCAAATGTTAACACTTAGGGCCCCGGGAAAAGTGTCAGAAGAGGGCCTCCCCTGTGGCACAGCTGGTTGAGCGCAGTGCTGTGAAGCTGTCGACAGCCTCTGCTGCGCAGGGTCGATTCCCGGCCGGCTAGGGAGATACCCACATGGCGCGACAGACCCCTCCTGCCTTGCCTGCTGCTCCCTTAGCAGTGTCTTTGGTTCATTTGCCTGTTTTGCTTCCTGCTCTGTCTCTGGTGAATCCTCTCACCCTCCTGCACTTCTGGCCTGTACCCCGGTTCTTGTATAAATAAATCTTAAAAAAAAAAGTGTCAGAAGACCCAGAGGAGCTTTCTGGGATTTAAGTTTCAGGTTACCAGTAAAGTTGCTGTTTAAAACTAAAGGCATGTAAGTTTCTCATAGACATTAGCGCATCAGACCCAATCAGTTATGTCATGTTTGGGACACACTGATGGCGGGGACCGTCCTGGTCCTGACATCTCTGTGCAGTGGGGATACCCCAGAGTGTGCAGGGCTGGGGATGGGAACCTAGGGCAGATTCTTTCTGTTTTCTTGAAAATGGAGACATTTTTGGAAAATCTTTCCAGTAGGGGAAGAGTGTTATGATGTGAGGGAGAAAAATGGTCCCAACCTGTACTCATGTGCAGATGTCATGGGGTCAAAGAGCCCTGGGCATTCTGAGAACAAGTGAATTTGGGGGTTCTGGAGGCTTGTGGTTCAAGAAGCTTCCAGAGAGTGATGCACTGATGGTGCCTGGGGCCTTGTGGGCATGGTGAGGCTTGGACTTAATCCTACGGACTTCGGGGAACCAGGCAGAAGTCAGTGGTGAATGATCTTTCAGTTGTGGAAGGGTAACTTGGAGTGGGCTAGAGGGGGAGCTGAGAGGCCCAGAGTTCAATAGAATAGCTGAGGGCTTACAGGGTTCATAGGGGTTCAGAGGGTGGGAAACCAAACCAGAAATGTCACCCAGAGATTTTTTTGACCAGTTGCTTCAGAATACCTTTGCTCTTTTCCCTTTTGCTCCTCTTCTCCTGGTTTTCTCTCCCCCCCTTCCCCCCTTGGTTTCTCCTTCACCAAACATTTTTAGCTCAGCTATTTTCTTAACATACGGTTGGTGCCTTTGCCAGGTTTCAGGTGAGGCAGTTTGCTAGTGAGGTGTGGTGCAAGGTTCAGATGAATTTGATTCATCTGGCTCTGTAGGATCTTCTAGTGTCCTCAGGATGCTCCTCCTGGGCTAGTGGCAAATGCTCTGAGAGCATTTTTTATGTTAGTAAAACTGGTAGTAGTTGCTTCTCACTGGGTGGTTGTGAAAATTTAGTGGTGTTGCTTCTATAAGACACTTGACAGTATGTTGTTCTGCAAATGTGGAGAAATATGAATGCCTGAGTCAGTGCTAAGCATGGGAATACTGTAGTAACAGATTGGATGGGCTCCTATCTTCCAGAGTACGCATGTCAGGAGGGGGAAGTGCTGGAAAGGAAAAGCAAGAAGGGTATGAGGAGGGGGAGGGTGCTAAGCATTTCTTTAGGTCTCCGGGAAGGTTTTGGAGGTGGCAACATTTCTGCTGAGACCTGGGTGGCTAGGAGGCAGCCATGTACACATCAGAAGAAAGGTGTCCTGGTAGAGGGAGCACCCAGTGCAAAGGTCCTGAGGCAGACTCTGACAGGTGTGTTGGGTTCTTAAACCCAATTTCTATGTGGGGATGTGTGTGGAGGGGATTCCCCACACTGATAAGCAATTCTTGGGCACCAGTGAGATGGGCAGAATTCAGCTTATTTCTAACACTGACTACCTGGAGATAGCATCAGATTTACACTGGTAAAGAGCTCAGTCTCCCCAAACTGCCCTCCACTTCAGACGCCAGCTGCAAACTCAAGTGGTTACCTGTTTCTGACCAACTGGCTGTAGGTAAGAAGTTCCCAAGACACCCTCCTCAGGTCCATTAATTTGCTAAAATGAAACGCATTTTACTCGCGGGATCACCGATCTTCTCCAATGGCTTAGGAACAGCAGGAGGAAGACATACCAGGTATGGGGGGAAAGCTTGGAGATCCCCATGCCCTTTCTGGGCACTCCATGCTCCCCAGATCACCAGATATCCGCCAACCTGGAAGCTCTCTGAAATTTCTGCTCTGGGGTGTTTATGGAGGCATGACTGATTAACCTGTTGACAATTCAGTTCAACCTCCAGCCCCTTTCCCCTGCCAGAGGTCAGGGTGGAACTGCCTGTTTCAACCCTCTCATCTCATGTTTGGGTTCCCTGGCAACCAGTCTCATCCATAGGAGCTTCCCAAGAAGTCCCCTCAATCACAAAACAAGAGATACCTTTAACACCCACAACACTGAGGAAATTTCTAGGCTTTTGGGAGCTGAGCCAAGAGCCAGATGAAGGCAAATACATATGAGAAATGTATTTTGCCAACTTGAATGATTAAAATATATCTTATGAATCATAGTACTGCATTGAGCCTGAATAAAGACTGGGGGGACCTTTGTGGATGGAGATATGCAAGTGGGTGGAGTGGGGCAAAACGAGGTTGGAAGAGCCAGCCATCGCCACTTCACATAGGCCTGTGCCAAGGTGCTAGTGATAAGTATTTGCATTTATTGAGCATGTACTGTGAGCCCTTCGTGTGTATGACTCATGTTCCTCATCTGGCAAGTCTGTGGGGAGAGACTCAGTGTCTCCAGCTCCCAGAGGCACGAATGCACAGACATGCTGGCTCTTGAGGGACTGCTGGCCTGAGGCATTCTGGGTCTTCTGTCCATTGGCTGATGGTTTTCCTCTGGGCTGCACTTGCCTCTGAAAAGGGGGCTGAAGCCTCAGGAGACGGTGATGAGACCTCTAGTGATGGATGGATCATTCCTCCTCTGTTGCAGAGCTGAAGAAGTCCTTGTACGCCATCTTCTCTCAGTTTGGCCAGATCCTGGACATCCTGGTATCACGGAGCCTGAAGATGAGAGGCCAGGCTTTTGTCATCTTCAAGGAGGTCAGCAGTGCCACCAATGCTCTGCGCTCCATGCAGGGTTTCCCTTTCTACGACAAGCCCATGGTGAGCACTGGGTGGAGGAGGTGTGTGACGAATGTGTGGCGTGCGGGAGATGGTATGGGCCTGGCTCTCCTGTTGCTGACAGCCTAGTCCCTTAGAATGAGACTTTTTTTGCTGGTCCTTTGCATTCGTAGTATACCCTACTGTGGTGGGGTGCGTGGGCACCCCGTGATTAAGGGAGCCCCAGCCCTGCCTTCTCAGACCCACCCTGCTGGGAGTGACAAGCCTGTCACCCAGCTCAGAAGGGTCAGAGCTGGTTTGGGGATATTTATGGAGGGCACCTCATCCAGCCTGGGGGAAGGCACCTCATCCAACCAGGGAAAGTCTTGTGGTTCAGGTGAGACTTGAAGAAGGAGAATTGACTGGGGGAGGAGAGGGAGAAAGAGTGTTATGTCTTTAGAGGGACCCTATGGATCAGGCCTGGAGATAACCAAGAACACAGGTAATGGAGGAATTGAATCAAGTTCATTTGGCTGGAATTGTGAGAGCGGGGGTAGGCCTGGCCTGGAGAGCCTGTCAAAGTCAGGTCAGGGGCTGGAGTTTGTCTCAAAGTGAATTTGATTCCAGATTCCGGGAGCCATGGAAGAAGGCTTTAGGGAAGTGCTACTGGCTGTAGAGTAGGTAGAGTAGATTAGAGAGCCCAGTGGCCAGGGTGAGGCTGTGTCAGACTCCCAAGGCCAAGGGTCAGGCTATGACCATTGACTGTGGGATGGAAGGAAGGGGGCCAAGTGGATGGTGGGGTGGGGTGAGGGGGGGTGCAGCCTGGGAGGCCAAGAGTAACTTTAAAGCCCCTTCCCTGAATGAGAATTCCTGGCAGACGTCTTTGGGTCTTTACCTTTGTCCCTCATTTTGTAAGTTTTTTACCTGCATGAAAAACTTTGAAAATGCCTCTGAACCAACCCCCTTGGGGAGGTGATAGCAAGTCTCAGTGCCTGAGGCCCCAGGCAGGTCACCCCTACAGGATGGAAGCAAGCGGGAGACAGTGGACATCCAGGTACAGCAGGGCTACCTAGAAACCCTCTCCCCTCTGTGTTTGTTGTCACCTCTGGGGGTGCAAGCCCAGAGCTGCCACATACTCCGATTTCCTTTCTGGAATAGCTGGAAATTGGCTTTTGAGATGTAAAAACCATCATCTTTGTATGTTGGTCCTCCTGCCCCTCTTCTCTTCCCACATAATTTGCTTGGGTCATACCAAACACAGGTGAGTTGTGTGCCATCAACTCTGGCTTCCAAACATATCCACTGGCGGCCTGCTTCTCACCAGCCCCAGCCGCTCCCCTCCCTTCTTGGGACTGTGGCCACAGCTGCTCACGGTGGTCTCCTTGCTTCAAAAACAGCCCATTGCTCTTCATACATGTCAGGTCCTACCCATTTTGTTCCTCAAAAAAATCCTTGAAGTAGCACTACCCCCAGTTTACAGAGGAGGTTGTTGAGGCCAAGTGAGTCCAAATTGTGACTTACTTTGGCTCTGAAGTTCCTCCTCAACCCCTACGTCTCTGTTGGCAGCGCATCCAGTATGCTAAGACCGACTCAGATATCATTGCCAAGATGAAGGGCACCTTTGTGGAGCGGGACCGCAAGCGGGAGAAGAGGAAGCCGAAGAGCCAGGAGACCCCAGCTGCTAAGAAGGCCGTGCAGGGTGGTGCAGCCGCCCCGGTGGTGGGAGCTGTCCAAGGGCCTGTCCCGGTAAGCAGGGCCTGGGGATGCCATCTCCCTTCCCCGGCCTTTTTTTGCCACTGACCTGGCTTGTGCACAGGGAGGTGCTCCCACTGGGAATTCAGACCACCACCTCCATTTCTTCATAGATCATGCGCTGTTCCTTTGGTGCTGAGCACCAGGCTGATAGGGTCTCTGCCAGAATGCCTGTCCTGGTGCTTCTCAGCATCTTTCCTTGGTTTCACTCTCTCCTTGACCTTGGTTTCATCATCTGAGTCTTTTAACTCTGTTCTCATAGACGGTTCAGAAGAACCTGCTCGCTAACAGGAGGCCTAGGTGAATTTAATATAAAGCAATGTCACTAGCTAGAAAGCCGATGTGGGAATGATTGGTTTTATTTCTAGCGCTCGCAGTAAACATGTAGATGTCAAGGTGAAGAACAGTTAAAAGGAGGAAACCCAACCAGAGGTGTGCGGACCACGCACGTGAGCAGTGCAGAACATAGCTGAGACAAACATGGTCTCTGCAGGCGGATGGGAGACATGTTGTTAAGCTGTTAAGCTGTCAATTCTCTTTCAAGGTTCAGCACAGTTCCGAGCAAAATCCCAGCTGCAGTTCTTGGGAAGCCTGAGGGGCTATTTCTAAATGTCAGTGAAAAGGCAAAAGCAAGGCAGAGCAGAGCTGGGGGAGCGGCTGTGGTGATGGCGATGGGGTGGTGTTGGCGTAAGGTAGGGAAATGGACCAGTGGGCAGGGTAGGGGCCACAGATACGTCTGCGTGTGTGGCAGCTCCACGCACGAGGTTCCCGTGGCCCGGGTGTGAAAGGACCGTTGTCCTGGTGAAGGAAGCTGGGCCGATGGGATGAAACTAGCCCTGCCTCAGCTAACATGTAAATTACCTTGAGATGAATTGTGGGCCTGAATGTGACAGCTAAGATAATACAGGTTCTAGAAGAAAACAGGAAAATGTCTTCATGATTGTGGTGGGGGCACAAACAGCGGAAGCATCCTGTTTTTTGGAGTGAGGAAAGTAACGAAAGACTATAGAACAGGTGGGTGGGTTCGACCCACTCCTTTCCCGGCCTCCGAGTCTCCATGTCAGCTGCTGCGCTCCGCCCCACGTCTGTCCTGCCAGCACTTGTCAGTGGTGGGGCCTCGGTTTCCCGCCCTCTGGTTTGTACTGAGCTGCCTGTCCACATCTGGTCGAGCACCCCAGTCTTCCCCTGAGGGGTATGGCCTGTCTCCCTGCCACCCCTCCCTTTTCCTTCTGTACAGTCCCTCTCCATTTCTGCCCTCCACTGTCTTTTCTCTGCAGCTGGGTCTGTTTCTCCCCCCCCCCATCTCCCATTTATTTTTAGAAGCAGATATACAGCTTGCTCATTGTAGCATTTATTGCCAACCCTTTAGTCAACCATTATGTTTTGATCTTTCCTAGTTTTTTTTTTTTCCTACTCTTCTATACACAAAGGTAGGTCATGTTGATTTTTTAACTCACTCTGATTAAATGCGCCCCCTTGACCCTGAGCCAGTTTTGCTTCATCCATCCCTTCTCTGGGCACCTTCTGTCTCTACCCATGTCTGGTTCTTTCTCCTTGTATCTCATGGCCCACATTTCCTCTAATAATCTTACCTGCTCTTCTGTTTCCCACTGAAACTGAAATCACATCTTCCACCTGCTGCTGCCCAGCTCAATCCTGCCATCTTGTCTCCGCAGGGCATGCCGCCGATGACTCAGGCACCCCGCATCATGCACCACATGCCAGGACAGCCGCCCTACATGCCGCCCCCAGGCATGATCCCACCGCCTGGCCTCGCACCTGGTCAAATACCACCAGGGGCCATGCCCCCACAGCAGCTTATGCCAGGGCAGATGCCACCTGCCCAGCCTGTAAGTATCTAGTCTTCCAGGTCATATGAAAGTAAAACAAGGGACTGGTGGGGGTGTACAGTTTCAGTTGGGGTGAAGTCCAGGCAGGCCTCCCTGGGGAGTGCTGTTGAGTGATAAGGCTGAGGGTGTACACTGGGTTCAGGCCCTGGGCCAGAGAGGAGCCGGTGGGTTGGTTGGAGGAGCTTTGCAAGGTCAGGGTGAAGCTGGGTCCGTGGTCAGCACCTCGACTATTCTGCTGATTCAGTGAACTTGTGCTAAGCACCTGCAGTGAATATAGTAATGCCCTCTTGTGGCTCACAGCTCAGGGGGCAAAGGCGGGGCCACGTGTGACATGGCCGGGGTAGGGTATGCTGGGGTACACTAGAAGGAATTCCAGCGGGGTGAGGGAAGGAGAACAAGAGGGGTCCCCACCAGACTCAGGATCACCTCTCTATGCCCTGCAGCTTTCAGAAAATCCGCCAAATCACATCTTGTTCCTCACCAACCTGCCCGAGGAGACTAACGAGCTCATGCTGTCCATGCTTTTCAACCAGTAAGTGGGACTGGGTGAGAGTGCAGTGTGATGGCTGAGTGGGGTGAGCAGAGGGACACCAGGGTGGACCCCTGAACCTGCTCAGGCTTTGCAGGTGCGAAGGGAAAGGCCAAGACCGCCTGGCCATGCTGGTCTCCAGGGGTGGGGAGTCCGGGCTCTGGGCCTCCTTTCTAGTCTGAATGGGAGAGATGGAAGGCGCGTGTGAGGCAGCAGCATGGTGTCTTTGGACACTGCCTGGGCAGGCACGGTCACACTCAAACTACGTAGGCGCTTGAGACATATGGGCTGTTGTGCCTGCCAATGGGGTATAGATCAGGGCCGTTATCATGTAGGGTAACTTCCCTTTTTAGTGAAGTGGGGGGGCCATGCTTTTGATTGTACGTCTTAAGGAAAACCTTCGCCTGAGTCCCAAAGGGGCCCTGGAAAGGGGCTCTGTGTGGCGGGGGTTTGGGAGGCTGCATGCAGATGCGCACCATGGCCCACCTGTGACTGCAGCGTACACTGTACGTCATGACAGTGCCTGAGGACATTTGGAGAAACTGGGTAAATCAAAAGCACCAGCACGTACTTTCCACACCTACGAAACACTGGGTACCTTTAAGAAAACCGACAGGACAAAAGATACTCAGTAAATGTGGGGGTGTTGCCTACTGGGGCGGGAAGAAAGGTATGGGAAGAGGTTATTTCTGGCGCTTGGATGGGTGAGTTATGGTTGGGGACACACAACGGACAGGTGTCCTGCTTTTTGATGGGGGTTAAGATGGCACGGGTGTTCATGCTAAGATGTGTTCCTAGTGTGTGCACTTCCTGGATTCTGTTAGGGTTTCTTTGCATCTACACATTTGTGGCTAGGTAAGTCTATCGGGCAGTGTTGTGCGTTGTATGAGGTTGAAAAACATCCCACCAGGTGCCAGAATATTGGGGGGAAATGCCCGAGTCTGAATTTCTGAGGTCTGTCATGACTTTCTCAGGTTCCCTGGCTTCAAGGAGGTCCGGCTGGTACCCGGGCGCCACGACATCGCTTTCGTGGAGTTTGACAATGAGGTGCAGGCAGGGGCTGCCCGAGATGCCCTGCAGGGCTTCAAGATCACCCAGAACAACGCCATGAAGATCTCCTTTGCCAAGAAGTAGCAACTTTACCCCGTGCCTGCCCCATCCCTTATTCCCGGCCCCTATTTTGGGGCCTCCCCTTCCCCACCTTGGCTCAGCCCCTGAAGGTAAGTCCCCCTTGGGGGGCCTTCTGGAACTGCGTGTGTGAGTGAGTGGTCACACAGCATTGTACCCAGAGTCTGTCCCCAGACATTGCACCTGGCGCTGTTAGGCCGAAATTAAAGTGGTTTTTTGAGGTTTGGTTTTTCACAATCATTTGTTGTTGGTTTTTTTCCCTTGTCCTGTGTTTCTTTTCCTGCACTTCAGAATGTTCTGGATCTCTTCTCATGTTGGGGCTTGCAGTCTTGGGAAAACACAATGTTGTGTAGTGATTGTGTCTAAGCTAGTACTTTGGCAGCACTTGGGGCAGCTGTCCAGTTAGGACGGGTCCGCTGCTACACCAGGAGACCACCTTAAAGGGCTTTCTTCACCTCTCTTCACAAAAGTCTTCACCGAAGTGCCTGCTGTGGTAGCCGGAGTCCCACAGAACCCAGAATCCACACTGAGGGGGAGTGGGTGCTCATAAAATCATTGGAAGGATAGGGATGACGGCCTGGATTTGAGACACTTGAGAGTACAAACAAGTACACAGCCCCTACAATCTCAAGTTCAGGAAGATGCCACAGCTGCTCACAGGAGTTCCCAGATAGACCCAGTCATATGTGGGCAGCTGCTGACCAGGCGCTGGAACAGGAGTGTGGCCAGTTCCAAAAGCTCATCTGCCTTGCTGACCAGTAGTCGGCCGGGAACCTCAGGCAGGTGGCTGAACCAAATTCCCCACCAGAGCCCGAGCTGCTGGGGAGTCTGGGAAATGATTCTGACTGGGCAACCATGTACCCAGCTAAAGATAAAGATAAGGGAAGACCAAGTGGCAGCTCACTTAGATGTCTGTTACACACCTGTGCTGGAAGATTTTTAACAACTGACTCAAAAATAAACAGGTTTTCGGGCCTCCCCTGGTGTCGCAGCGGTTGAGCGCTGGGCTCCAAAGCTGCCCGCAGCCTCTGCAGCGCCAGTTTGATTCCTGGCCACCGGCGAGGATCCCACATGGCGTGCAGACCTCTCCTGTTGCGCCCGCTGCTCCCCTCAGCAGTGTATTTCGGTCTATCTGCCTGTTCTGTTCCCCGCTCTGGCTCTGGTAAATTCTCTAATCCCCCCGTGCTTTTGACTATACCCAGTGCTTGTATAAATAAATAAATCTTTAAAAAAAAAATTAAAAAAAAAACCAACAGGTTTTCTAAGACCCTCACAGCATATAAATAGGAAGTGAGAGCGTGTGCCACAGTCATCAACAACAAGAATATACATGACAACCTTAAATTCCTGGGTGGTTTTTACCTGCTCTGCCTCCCCTGTTAAATGGAGGGACATCAGACTTGTAGCACCAGATGTAGACTTTTTTTTCTGTGTTGGATGTGAAAGATGAGGAGGAGGGATCGCTGTCTTCACTCAAAGGCATGGTCTACTTGCAGCCAGCCAGCGGAAGCATCTCACCCACCACATGGCAACCACACATTTTGTGGTTGGCAGATCCTGCTTTCTACTGTCTGGTGGGGAATTCCCTGGGTGTTCCCCCACAGGCAATTGAAGTCCCCACTCCGAGTTTCATTTTCCTGTGTATAAACGATCCCTTCTATGTTAATACTGCGGTAGTATGTGTACTTGCCACTTCCCCCAACACCCCCTGCCAGGCACGTCACAAGCACTGAGTACTTGAGTGATGAATACTGTTCTTGGCATAGGAAATGCAGTGGTGAACAGAAGGGACAGCTAAACTCATTGTAATTACAGGTGCCCCTTGACTTACAATGGGGTCACACCTGATAAAATCAACCTGATTCAAAGTTGAAAATTCTAAGTTAGTGCAGCAAAGACTATATATAGCTCAGACTAACTCTCCTTAGATGTGCTCAGAACACTTCTATTAGTAACAGTTGGGCAATTCATTTTGAGTCTCATCCCAATAGGAATTGCAATTCACCAGAAGCGGGAGACACATGAGCATTTTGTAGACATGATGGGATGGGCAAATGAAAAATGTCCCCACCTCTTCTGCTGCTGCCCTGGGGTTGTGGGGCTGGAGCACACTATTTGGGGGTGATCTGGGAGGCTCCTTTTGAGGTGGCATCTGAGTAGACTACCTCCTTGTAATAGCTGGTACTGGATATGTAGAGATGACTTAGGTCAAGCCTTCGAAGGATTCTCCCCATGCCAAGCCTGTGTGTCACCACCCTTTTTCCAGAAAAAGGACTTGCTGGCCCAGAAGGGAGAGAGCCTTGGGGGGAGAGGAGGATGTCCTGGAGAGTGATCTTGGCATGTGGATCTTTGAAGCACGACTGGGGAGTTGAGACTAGTTCAGATCCTTTGCCTCTTTTCAGCCTGATCTTGGGCAACTGAGAACTCCAAGCTCAGTAGTAAAGGGTGTGGGCCTGGAGCCAAACCTAGCCTTTTTGCTGCCCTGCCTTTCACCTACGCGAAGTTGCTTCACTCCTTCCAGTTCCATGTAAAATTGGGTTCTAACAGCCCCAGTTGAGGTGGTGCAAAGTATCTATTTGAGTTAGTAAAAGTAGACCTGGTGAACGCTCTGTTAGCTTTTATAATCTGTTTTACGGATGAGAAAGGGGAAGCTTTGAGGGGAGAAATAGCTTAGTCCAGGTCACCCAGTCAGGAAGTGCCTTGTGAGGATGTGTAGTGGTGAGAGGGCACTGCCTGGCTTAAGGCCCACTATATAATCACTCAGTTCTGGAGAGCTGGGGCTATTCCTGGTAATCAAAGGGCTGCCTTGTTCTGCTGGCCCCTCAGCACAGGAAATTCCAAGGTGGTTTTCCATGTGGCTCCTCTGATTCTGTCCCTGGAGGGGATGGGAGGGGCCCAGGTACTCACTAGTCCACAGAAGATAGAATTGAATATCTCATCCTGCCTGGGCCTTTCTGATTGTTGATGGGGGAGGGGGTGGCTGTCACTTGGAGAGGCCTGAGCTGTTTTGGGCCTATCTAGGCATTTTCTTGGCCTAGCTGCCCTCACCCTGCCCTTGGAATGGTTCTGGCTGGGTAGCAGCCTCTGGTGTGGGTGAAATTTGGGACTGGTTTAGGGCGGGGATAAGAATAAGAACACAGGTTACCTTGTGTTGCTGGAGGGGAGGGCAGGAAGAAACTGGAGATCCCATTCCCCTGTCCCCCTCCGCACCTTGGCTCACTCACTCTCGCTCCAAGGCTGTGATGGCTCAGTCCTGGGAGTTCCTCGTTGTCTTCCTCTTGCTGTCTGCCTCCCCGGGGCCTAGTGTCGGAGGCCGTCCCATGCCCAAGCTGGCTGATCGGAAGCTGTGTGCTGATGAGGAATGCAGCTGTAAGAGTGGGAAGGAGGGAGTTGGGGTTGCCAGCCTGTGGTGTGCATGGGGTGCTATCATTCCCTTCTGTTGCTTCCCCAGACCCCATCTCCATGGCTGTGGCCATTCAGGACTACGTGGCCCCTGACTGTCGTTTCCTGAACATACAGAGGGGCCAAGTCATCTATGTCTTTTCCAAGTTGAAGGGCCGAGGGCGGCTCTTCTGGGGAGGCAGCGTGAGTCTTGGGAGAGTGGAAGAGGAAAGAGTGTGGGGTTGGGGTGGGGGTACACCTTCATTTTACATTCTAAGGGGAAACCTGAGGGTGTGAATGGTAATTGAGGTTTTGGGGGGCTGTTGTGATTATTTTTACTTTGCCTAGCAATTATAGGGCCCCTATGGTGATGCCAAGCTTTATCTAGACACTGAAGATGCAACAGTGAATAGTCCCTTTTATTCTAATGGGGGGAGACAAAGTATCAAAAACATCAGTAAATATGGGCTCCTTTGAGAGAGTGATTGGGTTGGCCAGCGAGTGCTCTGAGCAGGCATCTGGAAGCTGAGATTTGAATGACAAGGATTGCCTTTAGCAGGAACGAGTTACCCTCTTCCGGGCTGGGCTTGTAACTCTTCTTCCTCAGGTTCAAGGAGATTACTATGGAGACCTGGCTGCTCGCCTGGGCTATTTCCCCAGTAGCATTGTACGTGAGGACCAGCCGTTGAAACCTGGAAAAATCCAGGTGAAGACAGATGTGAGTGTCTTGGGGCCGGCAGGAAACTGGAGGGAGGACCCTTGGTTTTGTTTTGGTGGTTTTTTTTTTAAAGATTTATTTATTTAGGGCCTCCCCGGTGGCGCAGCGGTTGAGCGCTGGGTTGCAAAGCTGCCCGCAGCCTCTGCAGCACCGGTTTGATCCCCGGCTGCTCCCCGGCCACCAGAGGAGGGTCCCACATGGCGCGCAGACCTCTCCTGCCGCCTGCTGCTCCCCTCAGCAGTGTATTTCGTCAGTCTGTCTGTTCTGCTCCCCGCTCTGGCTCTGATGAATTCTCTCACCTTCCCGCGCTTCTGACTGTATCCAGTGCTGGTATAAATAAATAAATAAATAAATCTTAAAAAAATATATTTATTTATACCAGCACTGGGGTACAGTCAGAGGCGCGGGAGGGTGCGTGAACCCACCAGAGACAGAGCAGGGAGCAGAACAGGCAGACAGATGGAAGACACTGCTGAGGTGAGCAGCGGGCGAGGCAGCAGAGCTCTGCTGCGTCATGTGGGTTTGCCCCTGGCCGACCGGGAATCGAACCCGCACTGCAGAGGCTGCGGACAGCTTCACAGCGTGGCGTTCAACCCGCTGCGCCACCGCGGGGGTGGGGGTGGGGGTGCCCAGGACCCTTGGTTTTGATGATGGCCAAGGTCCCTCATCCCTTGACTCCCAGCGGTCTAGCTGTGTGCACGTGGCGAAATAACCCCAACTCAGTTTTCTCATCTGTAAAATGGGGAGTGAGTTATAAGTCTCGCCCAGTCCCGTTGAGTTGCTAATATTCCAGGGCTCAAGGTTAATTTGCATAGCACTTGTGTTGCCAAATCTGGCTCCTGCAACTACAGCCTTTGCGAAAACCACTAGATTCTCTGTGGTGGTACTGCTGGTTTTTTTCCTCACTGTTTCCCCTTTCTCTTTCAGAAATGGGATTTCTACTGCCAGTGAGCTCAGCCTACCGCTGTTCCAACCGTTTTCCCTCCCCGGTTTTATGCAAATACACCAGCCAAGTGCAAACTGTCGGTGGTTTCTGTGGTGGGGTGGGAAGATACAAAGGAAATAGTCCCCCAGGTTCCTGAATCTAGCCAATCGGACCTCTGCCTGTGCTAACGTCAGAGGTTGCTAGGCAGGTTTTACTGACCAAAGGCTCGGCGCGGAGCCGGGTACCGGAGGCGGGCGCCTAAGTCGGACACAGCAAATGAGAAGACGGAATAACGTAACAGCCCAATGGGGGGATTGTAGTGTCTTCTCTAGACCAACGAGAGGGAGCCGAACTCGTGGGAGGAAGCCAGTCGGATCATGAGGAAGCCAGATCGCAGGGCAGAGGTTTTAAGATGATCTACAATGGGGGGTGGGAGGGAGCCCGCGCGCATCTCCCCAGCTTTCACCCTCCCTGGCCCCGGCAGCTCAGCATCCGCCTCTCCACAGGGCTGCCCTGCTGCCTCTGTAACCCCGTCGCAGCCGCGCCTCCGCCCCGCAGGCCGCCTCTATCCAATCCAGAGCCTCGCTTCGACCCAGACCCCTGGCACAATCCGTTCCTCCGCTCGGCGAAGCACCTCTGCCCCGCCCCTTCCCACCTGCTCGGCCAATCACTCGTCTTGGCCCCGCCTCTTTTGTCCATTGTGGCCAATCGGGGCCTTTTGTCCCGCCCCCTGCCCGTCCCGTCCGCCAATCCCTGCCTTTGGACGGCGTGGCCAGGTATCCCGCAGCCGAGCGGGTCGCGCCGGAGGGGGTGGAGGCGGAAGTGGCGGCGCCGGGCCCCGGGAGTAGGAAGGCGCCGGGGCTGCGGCCGGACTGGAGCGGCTGCCAGCCGAGGAGCGGGCGCGGCCGCGGCGCCATATTGCGGCCCAAGACGGCCGCGACCGAGCCATGGCCGAGACCTACGGTGAGGAGGGTGGGCCCCGGCGGGGGTCTGGGGTGCGGGCCGAGGAGGATGCCGCTGGGGGATGGGGGCGGGGCTTCACGGATGGGGGCGGGGTCTGGCGGGATGGGGCCGGGCCTGGCGGGTGCTGGGAGGGGCTTACTGGGTCTGGGGCTGAGCTTAATTGATTTGGGCGGAGCCTGACGGGCCGGCGTGTGGGTTTAATAATGCTGGGGCGGGATTTGAGGGAGCCAGTCTGGAGGGATCCGGGTAGGCCTTGAGTGGAAAGGGTGGGTCTTCATGTGTCGGGGCGGAGCCTGGATGGATGGGGGTGAGGCTGATTCTGTGAAGGTTGGGGTCGGACTTGACGGACGACAGAGACCCTCCAGGGATACTCAGGACCCTGGGGCTGCTGTTTCTGGAGATCTGGGATAGAGTTGGGGATGAGGTGTCCTTGAATTAGGGGTGGGGCTAGTGGCAAGGGGTGGGACTTAAGATCGAGACTAGGGGTAGGGCTTTGGAGGAGGGAGAGCTGGCAAATCAGGATGGATGGACGCCAGGCCTTTGGATGGGGTGCGGTAGAAAGAGCTCTAATCAGTTACTCAACAGAGAGAGTAAAGGAGAGGGAGCAAATGCAAAGACCCTGAGGTGGGAACCAGTTTGTCATTTGTAGGGAATACACTGAGAAGGCTAGAGTGGACTGAGAGGGTCAGAGAGAGGTAGAGGGCAAGTCGTTGAGAGGCAAAGATGAGATGGTAAAATGGCTGTGAAGAGTCTTTAATCCATGTAATATTTAAGATCTCAGACTCCAGAGCCACACTTTGGGTTCAAGGGACCTTGGGCAAGTTAGTTAACCTTTGTGGCTCCATTTCCTCAAGAGGAAAATGGGGCTGATTATACCTACCTCCCTCATAGAGTTTCCCTGAGGGTTAAATGAACTGTTGATGTAAATAAAGAACTTTAGAGCTGTACCCAGTATGTGGTAAGCACACTGTAAGAATTAGCATCTGTGGTTGTTACCCATTGCTGTTTCTGTGTCTCTTTCTCTCCTGGTACCTGTGATGGTCTCTTGGTTTCCACCTGCCTCCCCCACCCTCCCGGCTCCCCGGTGTATTTTTCCATATGGGTTTCCTGCATTTTGGTTCCATCTGCTCAGACTTCCTCTTCAAATTTCTGGTGATTGGCAGTGCTGGAACTGGCAAATCATGTCTCCTTCATCAGTTCATTGAGAATAAGTGTGAGTTTCTGGGAGTGGCCCTGGGAGCACTGAACTGTGGGTGTGGCTTGGGCAGCTCTTGGCATGGGAAGGGGCAGGGACAGCCCAGGCCCTGGCTGCCTGGTTCTTGCCTTGGCCTTGGTCCCTGGCCTTGCCTTGTTTACACCTATGCGCTATGCTGGGACCTTCTGGGCCCCCACTCGCCCTGGCAGTGAGAATGAGTTTGTGCAGGCTGGGGAGGCCTTGGAGGACAGGGACGCCTCTGAGCCTCTGCACTGCCTCTCTTCCCCCTTCTACTCCCAGTCAAACAGGACTCCAACCACACGATCGGTGTGGAGTTTGGATCTCGGGTGGTCAACGTAGGTGGGAAGACTGTGAAGCTACAGATTTGGGACACAGCTGGCCAGGAGCGGTTTAGGTAGGTGGGCTGGGCTCCCTGGAAGGGAAGTGGGGAGAGGGGAGAGAGAGAGAGGCATGCAGACACTTGGAGACACCAGGTAGGCGCAAGGAGACACTGAGAAGGCAGCAAGGCAGAGGACAAGAGCTAGAAAGAGTTGATCAGCTTGTAGAGATAGCCAAAGAGGTGAGATCCTGGAGTGAGGACGACAGACAGAGAAAAAGAGACTGAGAAAGAAAGGAAGAGTTAAGAGAGCCAGGTAGAAATGGACAGAGCCTAGAGAGACTGTGGTGGACAAAAACGTGTGGCTGGAAGAATGGACACTTGTGCCTGGGAGACACAGGGCTTTGAAGAGAAAGACATGCCTGGGGGTGAGGGCACGGGGTAGATGCTGAGAGATGCTGACACAAGGGGAAACTTGAAAGACAGATCCATTCAGAAAGGGAGAGAAAAAGAGAGAGCCCAAGTAAAGGGAAATAAGAGCCCCAGAGAGAACCAGAAGACAGGGAGTGTGGGACAGGTGGAGCCAGAGAGCTGGAGAATTGGGTGTGCTGGGGGAAAGACAAGTGTGCAGGCTCTGGACACAGTATGTCTTCAGGAAGTGCCTGCAGAAGAGGTGACAGGTACAACGAAACCCTGTGTCTGAGAAGCATAGAGAGAGACAGGGCGTGCAGGCCATGGAAAAGTGTGGTCCCTTGGCCCACGCATAGTAGCTGCTGAGTTAATACTTGTGTTTAGTTTGCTGCTTGAGGTGCATGGAGCCTGGAGACAGAGATGGGGGGGTGGGGGGCAGCAGGGGCTGGAGTGGCAGGCGGTGCTTAAGGAATGCTTGTGGGATGACTGAGTGAGTTCCAGAGGGACCCAGACTGGTGACACAGGGAGATGTGGACAGTCACTCCACTGAGGAGGGGCCCTCATCCAGACACAGCTGGAGAGGGACGAGCAGACGTGTTTGCATAGCACTGGGCCAGGCCTGGCCATGGGGAGATGACAGAATGAATGAGTAGGAGGGCAAGAGTGAGGATGAGAGCGAGAGACAGAAAGACAAAGATAGAAATGAGGACTGAAGAGACAACGGGGCGGGGGCGGGGCAGTATCAATGAAGAAATATAGAAAGACAGGGACACAGAGAGTCACAGGCAGGGAGAGACAGACAGACACACACACAGCTGGCTAAGTGAGGCAGAGTTTGCGGGAGACAAAGAGAGAGACCATGAGATGGAAACTGGGGAGACCAGACCATACCACACTTTGGGGGATGGGCCCGCAGTGAAGGGGGGTCTCCGAACCACCAGTCTCTCTCCGCAGAGGGGGGCAGTCTCGGGGCAGACCCCAGCCTTGGGGGTGACTGGGTCCCCCTGGCCCCACAGGTCGGTGACACGAAGTTATTACCGAGGGGCAGCTGGAGCCCTGCTGGTGTATGACATCACCAGGTGGGTGCACGGAGTGGGCGGGGTCCGGGCGGTCCCTCTCCTGCCCCTGCCTCCCTTCTTCCTCCCTCCTTCCTCTCCACAGCCGGGAGACCTACAACTCACTGGCTGCCTGGCTGACGGACGCCCGCACGCTGGCCAGCCCTAACATCGTGGTCATCCTCTGTGGGAACAAGAAGGACCTGGACCCCGAGCGTGAGGTCACATTCCTGGAGGCCTCCCGCTTTGCCCAGGAGAATGGTAAGGGTCCTTTGGTGGGCAGCAGAGGCACTGGGGGGCGGTGCACAGGGTCTGTGGATCTACTGGCTCTCTGTCAGCGCCCAGCCCTGGATGGTGGGGGTTTACAGGACCGGGTTCAGATTCCAGTGCTGCTTGCCACTTGGGGGCTGTGTGACCACCCTGAGCCTCCGTTTCCTCTTTTAGAAAGCGGAAATCCACATTTCTGCCTCACATCTGGGTGATAGTTAAGGGAGATGGTTTGTGGAGAGCCCTCAGCTCTGCCTGGCAGGGCATGGGTGCTTAATTAACACTGGTTGCTAAGGAGGTGTCCGCCACCAAGGAGAGGCACTGGGCTGTTGGTGTGAGGTGGACACTGCAAACTCCCTGGCCCCAGGGGACGGCCACATTTTATGAATAAGGGAGATGGGATAGGTCAGACCCCAGGTCTGGAGGCACTGGCATCAGGGGAGTGGACAGGCCCGCAGCCACACCAGAAGATGTGCAAGTGTAAACTCATTTGAAAATCCTGTGTTTACGAAGCTCCTGCCAGCTTAGGGTCTGCACATGCTCGTCCAGCTTGTGACCTCTGGGGCAGAGGAGGTTTTAGCATCAGAGAGCGCTGGGTTTAAATCCTGGCTCTTTCTTACCTACTGTGAGGCCTTGGCACATGGCTGATGGGTAGACTGTGGTGGCCTGAGCCTGTGCCAGATGGTGCTGGGTCCACAGTGATGAAGATCGCCCTGGGCATGCTCTCATGGGCTTGTACTCTAATGAGTGAGGGAAGGGGACAGGCCCCTTTCCAGACAGTGACAGCTCGGAGAAGTTAGGGCTGGGGTGGGAGAGGCCCAGGGAGCAGTGGGAGCCCAGAGGAGCCACCTGATCCATTCTGGGAGA